ATGATTTACATAAAAAATTAAAAAAAAAAATCACTGAACTAACATAACATTTGCAACCACCACATTGCATTGCTCACTCTGCTTGTACGTTACTTTCCCCCCACCCTGTGTCTGTCTTGTCTATTTAGACTAAGCTCATCAGAGCAGGACTGTCTACTAGTGTGTTTGTACAGTGCCTAGCACAATGGAGCCCCCATCTTGGTCGGTTACAATGCACAACCATAATAAACAGGATGAAAAATAGTACTAAATTAGATGTTTGTACAGTGTTTAGCAAAATGAGACTCCATCCTCTGTCAGCCTCTACTATAATAAATGCAATGAATAATAATGTTTAGAGTTAACCCTAATGAAAAAGCTTTGTATATAAACAATGCTAAAGAACTTCACAGACTGTGAAATATGTCAAAGTAATTAAAAAGCCCAGCCACTGCTTTTGCTTTTTCATAACCACTGTGTCCAGCTCTTTCCTAATTTGCAAGTAATCAAATTATGTGTCTAGAATACCAACATGATAGTGAGATAGGACCGATCATGACTTTGCCAGGTAACCAGTGGGTGAACAGATGACTAAGGGAACAGGTCATTTTATTTGTGTGTATGTACACCACACACAGTATCCAAGCAATGCCACAAAGGAAACTGGAAAAGGAACTGAAAGAGAAGGGGGCTCCTGTGTGATTTGTTTGGGTTTTTAATTAAATTCACCATGAAAACCTAACAAATAAAAAATATATAGGGCTATTCAAGATCAGGCCAGGGTTTCACGTAGCAGGAAGTCCAGCCAGCACAATAACCTTCTAATTTAATAACAAGAGTAAGGAAAAAACCCTTTAACTTCCTTCTCCCTCTAGGTCCTCTGTAGCCCATACAGTAAACTTCTTCATTGCTTGTTGCAGCCAATCTCTGGTCAGGGAGGACGGGACTGGGTCTCAAACTGCCTTCAGCACCACTGCGAATAGTGAGAAGTCAGAGTTCAGAATAGAATCTGGGTCTCCCATTGTAACTGCATATGGTAAAACAAATCAGCAAAAACACACCGGAAAGGCCTTTTGGTTCTCTGTGACAAGCTTATCACCGATCCCTTTAACTGTAAACTTTGTCCTTCTTCTCCCATCCCCCATTACTGTTTGTTACTCTCCTTCATCTAAATATTGCCTTGTAAGCTCCTCAGAGCAAAGGCCATGGCTTTGTATTTATTCTGTAAAGCGCCCAGCACCCATTGTGGGATGTAGCAATGCTTCTCGTATATAGCTGCTTATCTACACTGCACTCATCACTCTAGTACTGGAGCACCTTCCAGTCTTGAACAAAGGAACTGACATCTGTCAGATGTTGCTCATTCTCTCAAGGATAAGAGTGAGACTTTGAACTTGGATATATACTGTGAAATGCAAAACTGGACTCGTCAGCTTTATTTCGCACTTCCTCTGGCTAATTAGCTCAACTCAAATTTTACACTAGGTTGTTTGTGCAGTTAGCACACAAAGTGGATGATATTATTCATTCTATGATGGTACTGCCTAGGGGCCAGAGTAGGTATCAGGGCCCCACTGTGCTAGTCACTATACTGCATATAATAAAAAGACAGTCCCTGCCCCAAAGAGCTTACAGTCTGTCGCTTCTGGGGGTGAGAGAATGGGACAATCAGCATAATAGTGTTTCACAGCATTTAAGGCCAGAAGGGACTATTAGATCATCTAGTTTGACCTCCTGTATATCACAGGCTATTAAATTTCACCCAATTTACCCTATATTGAGGCCAATACCTTGGATTAGACTAAAATATTTCAAGTCCTCGAGAGACTAAACTGTTCTGTGCCACAGGCATAGAGGCCAGTGTAATTGATTATATGAGATATGCCGAGATGATCCTAGACGATCCATGCTGCATACTGTAGAGGAAAGAGGAAAAATCCCAAAGTCTCTGCCAATTCCACTTGAGGGAAAATTCCTTCTTGACCCAAATCTGGCAATCAGTTTGACCCTGATCATGTGAGCAAGACTTGACACCAGCCAAGTATCTGAGAAAGCAGATTCTCTGCATCACCTCACTACACTTGTCCACCTGGTGTCCTGTGTACAGCAATGGCCAGTCCCTGATGCCTCAGAGGAAGGTGAAACTCCCCTGTATCCCTGTCAAGAATACATCTGGCCAATTGTGAATAGGGGTCAGGAAGGAATTTCACAACCCCTGACCCCTGCAGGCCATGAAGTTTGGTTACGGTCATTGTCTTAATGCATGAAGTTTGGTTATGGGCATTGTCTTAATGCAGAGCTGCAAGTATTATGAGCATGTTAAGGGCAATGTAGAGCTTCCTGTTCTCTCCATGGCACATGGAGAGAGCAGGAAGCTCTACATTGCCCTTAACATGGAGATCTCCATGGAACATGGAGATCTCCATGGAACATGGAGATCTCCATGGCACATGGAGACAGGGATGAACAGTTGGATTCATAGATTCACAGCCTCCTAGGCCAGAGGGGACCACCATGACCGACTACCCCAACTTCCCCACATCTCTCTGCTGCCCTTGGCTGTAAGCTTCCTGGGAGAAATTCATCTGATCTCACCTTAAAGACTACAAGCAATGGTGAGTCCACCACCTCTCCTGATGAGCTGTTCCAGTGTTGCTGCTTCTTCCTGCTACGAAATTGCATCTCATTTCAAGGTTGAATTTATCTAACTTCAAATTACAGCCACTGGATATTGTTATATCTTACTCAGTAAGATTGAAAAGTCCCCTCCCTATCAGCTACCTTTTCCATGTCAATCCTCACAATCTCTGCTAAGACTCTTAACAAAGCTCAATTGTGATGGTGGTTTTTTTTGCACAGATGAAACAAAAATGCAAAGATTTACCCAAGCCCCACTGGGGTCAGGTAGGATGGCACTACCATCCAAACCACCACGAGCATTTGGTTTGGCAAAACCCAAGTCACCTATCTGAAAAAGAGATGGGCCCAAACAATAACCACTTATCCAGTCTCTCACATCCTCCTGAACCAGAGACATTTAGATCAAGTGGGCCTCGCATCCAAATCACTCCTGGGTTGGATTTTGGGTTTTCCAAACCAATACCTGTCTGATGCAGAGGTTCTGCAAAACCAAAACTGCCCCTGTTTTGCCCATCTCTTTTGTACATGTGTGGCCTCTAGGGGTTTCAGCAAGAATATATTTGCCCTATTTGGGCCTTGCACAGTTGTCATGGAAATATCCTCAGCACCATTTACACGCATGTTTTTTGGACTGGGTTGTTTGACGCTTGTTCTTTCAAATAATTAATAGAAAACCGGAAAAAAATTATACTGGTGGAAGACGCCAATTAAACTTTCTGCAAAGAAGTTTCGTATGAAATATTATATGACTGTTATCACTGGTAAGATCGTCTAGGCTGTAATGCATTCTGATTCGCTGCTACATGAAGCAATACAACCTGCAAGTAACCCTTAGAAAACGGCCGAGGCTGTTATAATGAAAAATTCTACCACTGCCTCTATTCTACCAAGCCAGGTGGCTTAAAGACTGACAGTTTACTCAGGATAAATGCGGGGAGAAAGATATTTAGGAATTTTCATAATAAAGAAAATACAGCCAGAGATACCTGGACAATAGACACGTTAAAATCAACTGCAGAAAAATTACGGTGACAGAATGGCTAAATTTAAACATACTGGGGAAAATAAATGTTAATAAAGATTGAGGCAGCCCCACAATTCAAAGATTGCTCCTAAAAGTGCCACTGGAAATGTCAAAACATCTACTTCATTAATAACAATATTTTCAGCAGTCAGAAGCAAATGGGGGGAAAAAGAGCAAAATTAAGTAAAATGACACACCAGTCTAAGAAAAGGAGGGATGAAATGGCTACATTTTAAGAGACATAAAATGACTTAAATATGACAGACTCTGTACAGGTATAAAATGGAATACAGTTGCCTTGATGATTTGGAGAATACATAGGATATTACTCGCACTGGACAGGTCTGCCTAATTCATGTGCAGATTTACAAATCTAGGGTCCAGCTGATAGCGTGTGGAATGTGACTGAAACCAATGGGGCTCCCTAAGACACGCCATCCATCACAGGAACCCAGTGCTATCTGTAACACAGGTAGGGACAAGTTCCCAGGTGAGGTGTGGGGGTGTGTGAGATACACATGGGTAAGCAGATGGAAGGTGGGGAAAGGTACACTTTGAAACAGAAGGTGTGATTCACATCCGTTTAGTCCCACAGAGTCAAGTACATGGCTCAACAAAACTGCCCCCTGCCAGGCCCTGCAGCCTTTAAGGCAGGAGTAGTCAATAGACAGACTATGGGCCAAATCCAGACAGCCAAACACTTTCAAACAGACCCCGAAATCTTTTTATTTACTTATGATCATTATTGTTATTGCGATGTGAAACATGTTTCGCTGGAGTCTGGATCCTGAGCAAGACATTTGGACCTTGACCAAAAATCATTGACTACCCTTACTTTAAGGGCTAATTGCTCAGCGAAGCCAAACAGGCAGCAGGAGGCTAAGGAAAAGAGGACACAGAAAGAAACTTCCAAGAAGCAGCTTTCCAAGAAAGGCCGATTGATAAGAAGATATCTGAAGGAAGAGCCTGCATCCTAACCAGGTGCCTGCCAGCCAAGGGATGGACACGCTGATCTCTTCCAGCAGAGATGAAGTGAGCTGTAGCTCACGAAAGCTTATGCTCAAATAAACTGGTTAGTCTCTAAGGTGCCACAAGTACTCCTTTTCTTTTTTCAAGCAGAGAGAGTGCCAGCTGTATATGGTGGGTGCCACCCATGCATTGGTACTGCTCCTGCAGGAGCTCCCCCAGGGAAGGGGAACCACTCACTCAACATCTCCCCCAGCTGCCCCCTACTCCTCAGGGACCACGTGCCCACCCAGGGGCTATGGCTACTTGCCCCTTCGGGGGGAAGCGCGCACAGCCACCTCCCCTTGGGAGGGGCTCGCCAGACCCTCTGCCCCCGTCCCCAGCCCCCTACCTGGATGAGGCGCTCCAGGGCCGGCCCCTTCAGGCACGTGTAATTGCCCAGCAGCTCCCACTTGTCCTGCAGCAGCTGCTGCGCCGACTGGCGGCTGGCGGGCCCCTCCAGCGCCCAGAACGCCGCGCTGCCCAGCAGCAGGTAGCCCACGTAGGCCAGCAGCAGCAGCAGGGTCCCGGGCAGCCGCCAGCGCCGCCCGGCCACGGCCTCCCCCTGCGCCCTGCACATCGCACCGCGCCTCCCCGGACTCCGGCCGAGCACCGGCCGGGACCGGAGGCAGGCACGGCGGGAGGCGGAGAAAGGGCGCTGGGGGCGGCTCCCATGCAGCCCAGGGGCCTCCCCGCTCCAAGGGGGCTGGGGAGAGGGGCCACCCCGCCTCCAGCTCCCTTCAGCGGGGATCAGGGGGACCCAGCCCCCTCCCGGTGATGAGGGAATCAGGCGCATCTGGCACCCCCGGAAGTGGTGGATCAGGGGCACCCAGACCCCAGTTCAGTCTCCACGTGCCCCCCACTCTCTGGTACCACCAAGGCCTGACCCATGGGGATGTCGTTCGTTTGTCCTGTGGCCAGCACAGGAGCAGCAGGTCTGGGGCACCACCACAATTTCCCAGGGGCCAGGTGGGAAAGGCTCCAGCTGATCTTACCAGTCCCCTGAGCCCTCTTTGCCACACCCCTGTAGCCCTTTTCTGGGCTGTGCCTCTGGGTTTCCTTTTGGAAGGGCAGCGTCACCATGTGCTCCCCAGCTGCAGACTAACAAGCTCTTCAAGAGTGGGTCTGGCCCTCTGTGCCTTGTTGCCCTCAACCAGTCAGTTTCTTCATGGTTTTCCATCCTTGTCCTACGGTATGTTCCGCAGAACCAGTATGTTTAATGTGCATCCCATCTGACTATTCCTGACCACCAATCTTGTTATTTCACAGATAGTCCCCTAGCAGTGCCCACCTATCCAGGTCTTTCTGTGCTTGGTTCCTTACCTCTACTCTATTTGTTGGCCAATCATAGAATCATAGAATATCGGGTTTGGAAGGGACCTCAGGAGGTCATCTAGTCCAACCCCCTGCTCAAAGCAGGACTAATCCCCAACTAAATCGTCCCAGCCAGGGCTTTGTCAAGCCTGACCTTAAAAATATCTAAGGAAGGAGATTCCACCACCTCCCTAGGTAACCCATTCCAGTGTTTCACCACCTATGATTCTAGTGTCATCCACAAGCCTGGAGCCCCTAGTAGTGAAACCTTCCCCTGAGTTCTTTATACTTGGGAATGAAACCAGCAGGCCCCATGCCACTTTCTGAGGGACTCCACTCATCATCCTCTTCCACCAGAGGAAACTGACCTTGATCGTTTAATCCAGTGGCACGTGCCCTGTGGTCCGACAGGCACTTTATGGTGATCTGCAGAGAACTGGCTTTCCTCCTTGTCTCCTGCTGCTAAATCACATTAAAAGGTATTTAAAATATTTTCTTAACATGACTTTTCCATGTAAGAAGTTGATGAACTTGCCCCAGGGCTGATAAGTGAAGGTTAATGGGGAGGGAACGACAGATTGTGACCACGCAGGGAAGTAAGAGCCATCCCTTAAATCCCTGAGAAAGCTACCCAGACCTTGTGTCTGTTTACTCCCCAATGCCCAGAGCAGCAGAAGTGGAGGAGCAAAGTGGATGGATCCTTGGCTGCAACCATTTACCAGTACAGCTGAGCTGGCAAAGGGGTTGTTATAATTTGCTGCTGGTACAGCGGGTGGAAAGGAGAGCTTCAGGGCTGTGCCTAAAGGTGCAATCTAACCCTTTACAGTTAAAGTTGCTCAGATGCATTTCCTCATAACACAAATATTACACGTCAAAGGAATGAGTTAAGGCAACATTCACATTCAACATACAAGCAGTCTCCAAGCATTAAATCACTACCACAGTGATGTTCAACCACACCATCAGTATAATAGTCTCTTTCACATGCTCACTTTCAGTTCAACAGTAGTCACCTGCAATGCATGCGTCAAAGAACTGAAAATTGCAGTGCACAGCCTTACCTCTTACTTTCCAAAGTAGCGTTATTTAATAATCACATGTGAGTTATAATCTTAAAATTAGATGTCTCCAGATACCATATGTCAGAGGGACAAAGGAGGAAAAGATGGTTACAGTCTGCATTTCCTATCTCATCAAAAACACAGATACATTTTTACTATATTTTTACATTATGACCGTATAAAAACCAGATCAGCTGCACAATGCATACTACAAAACGTAATAATGCACAAAGATTACTGACGTACTTAATTACGCTATTTAAAACATATATTAATAATAAGGTATATAAAACAACTTCACAGGTGAGAGTTCAGGTTTTCTGTCGAGAACTGAGCCCATTTTCAAATCTAAATCAGGAATTCCTTTGTTAGAAGGAACTGGGGGGAAGAAAAAGATTAGGCTCACCCCAAAAGCTCCTAAAGGGGGACACTTAAAATACCAATAATTCATAAACTAATTAACAGATTAAAATGAAAATCCACGGCAAATTCTTTCTGCACTCAAAGAGTAAGCATTGTAAGTTTGGGGAGGATACACTGTATTAGGGATTTTCAGCCTTCTTCCATTCAGGACCCAAAAAACACTTCCAGTTTCCTCTTCAAGATCCACCTAACATCCCACAATCCACAAGATTCCGAGATTGGGGCCTTGGCAAAAAATTGCGGGTGGTATATTGGTGCTCCGTGCTCAGTGGTATACTGCGGTGGGATGGTGCAGAGACTGCCAGGCTGGGGGGAGATCTTTGGGATGGGTGGGTTGGTGGACTTACTAGTTAGAGGCCTGGTGCCGTCTTGGTGGCCTGGTTGGGGATGCTGCTGGTGATTCTCTGCTCATGTATCCACACAGTGCCCTGCTCTGGGGCAATCCTGCTTACACAGGCTGCAATGCCAGCTCCACAACTTCAGGAGTGTTGCTTCCCCTGCACCAGAGCTGAGCACTTTGCAGGAAGCTGAGAGACCTCCACTCTTTACAGGAAGCAGAGATTGCACTGTTAGCAACAGGAATAGGGAGAGGGCAAAATGCTCCTTTCCTGTCCTCTCCTGGCTCCTTAGTGACCATACCATAATAATGCCTGGCCTGGCTCTTATATAGTGTTCTTCAGCAGTAGATCTCATTGCTTCTGCCATTTTATTTTCCTCAGCTGGCAGGTTGTGCCCCAGCACCCATCCCCTCGGAACTCACCCGAGGTTCAAATTGCACCCACTGAGAAACACTGCACTCTTATTCATACATAAAAAAAGTATTTCGTCCCTGCTTTAAGTGCAAATCACAATGTAACCTGAACAACTGAGCTGTTATGGCATTTCTGTGATCTCTAGGCTCTTGTCCAGGGCTTGAAAAATCCACTGGACAGTGATGAAAAAGAAATTTTCCCCCCTGGTGAGTGTGAGGAGCCTTAAACCATCAACATCTGCAGAATTTAAGATTTTTCTTTCTTTTGTAATTTGTTTTCTAGCTATTATGGTTGTTAAGAAAACCTTTCAAGTGTGAGCTGATACAGCACTAATGTATCTTCCTGAGTCTGCAGACAGACAGCTCCAGAATCTCTGCAGCTACTTGGAACATTGTCAAAACCACCAGCAGCAGCACTGTGAATGTAAAAAGTCTCTGGATGCTTTCACTTTTACTATTCAGACTAGGGTCAGTGGGAAATTTTTTGAAGAATCATTTTGTGCGTGTGCGTGTGCGTGTGTGTAAAAATGCAAAGTCATCAAAACCAAAACGGTTTGTGAAGCAGCGTCTGTTCTGATGAATCTCCTGACTCGAAAAAACATTGAAAAAAAGTTTTGAAATTGTTTAAACGTTTCTTTGACGTTTTCAAAACAAAGAATTCCAATGTACTGGTCCGGAATGACTTTTTGATTCAAATTTTAAGCTGTTAAGACTAAAAAGAGTTAATCAAAGGGGAAAAAAGGAAACAAAACGTTTAAAAAATCATTGCAGCAAAATGTTTCAATTGGTCCAAACCAATTTTTTCCCCATTTCATCAACGTTTTTGAGATTTTGTCCCAATTGGGGACAATACAGATTTTCAAATTCTTCAAAATACTTGTGGGATGGGAAAAGCATTTGCTGCCCAGCTCTATTCAAAATCCTGTGGGTGGCACTGGAAACTGACAAAAATCATGTCAGTGTTGCTCTGTTACTGTTTGGCAAAGCCAAGGGCCGACAGTGGAGCTGTACACTTATAGGAGGACTGGGCTGAGGAAGTGGAGACTCCAACTGCAAGCTGCCAGGAGGCAGAGGGGGAATAGAGTAGCAGAGAGCTCTCCAACATGTAATGCACGTGTTATATCCCCGGTCTAGTCATCTTTGCACATGTTTAGTGCATTGTGTGGCAGGCAGCACAGTGAAAGGTATTTTGTACACCTGGCTAAAGGCACACATGGTCTGGCACACATGCTGGTCTGGCACACATGGTTGTGTTGCCTAGGAAGGTGTGGAAGACTGGAGGGATTGGATGGAATCTGGATCATATGCACAAGTCAGTACAACTTTATTTGGTACCTGATCATGTCCTTCATACCAACTGCAGCCCACAATGTTTCATAGAGCTAGATAATATAAGACAGAATATAATATAAATTACAAAGACAGTGGTGTAAAGACAGCATCTAATGACTACATGTGAGCATTTGGTCTGAGGGAGGGAAAAGACTGGATATAGGTAAGAGAGATTTTCAGATGAGAGTTGCAAAAATATGGAGAGCTAGCTAACTCACAGAGATACAAGGCAGCTGTTCCAGACCGCAGAGGCTACAGAGCAGATGGTTCTTGCACTCATTTAGGAGATTGTGTGAAGGGACAGAGAGGAGATAAGTGCTAGGAGAGTGGAGATAGACAAGAGCTGTAAGGTAGGCAAGTAGCAAGATCAGAATGAGGTGTAGAATGGGGTGATGATGTCTCGGGCCTTACTGAGTAAGCCCAATAACTGGGAGCTGTCCACTCTTATTTCCCAGCATTTCAGACTTGAGCACCCAGTCTGGAGTCTCCAGGTTCCAACCATCAGTGGGAAAAACAGGTACCAGGTAAGATGCAAGATCAAGTCTTTGTTGTGATTCCTGAGAACAGAGAATCCAGCAGAGCAGATGTGTGGGATGACTTTCACACTCTATGCACTCCTTCTCCAGGCAGCACAATTTGTGGCAGATTTTATAGACATCTTCCCCACCGTGAAATATCAAATTGCTAGGTGAGAGACTGTCATATGGTGAACTGTAATCAATAAATCATGGGCCACTGCTCGTTAACTCTGTCAGCCAGGTTGTATTTTGGGCACACTGTACATGAAGGTTCCATTTATAACAGGTTTATAAAGGGTTAATAAGTTATTAATATATGTTATTAGAATGTCACATACAGAAGTAGCATATGTCATAATGGTTACAAGCTTATCTGTAGAAGACGTTATTGATTAACTCTTTATAAAGTTTGTTGTATGTGGGACCCATATTTCTATGGTTCAGTGACAGGATTGTTCCAGACATGTGTGGCTTTTGTTTTGCTTTTCCACCTCCTTGACTGATGTAAGAGCTGTTACTCTTGGTTGAAAGCAGTTGTGAGAAAATCAGACTCCCTGTTCTCACCAACTAATGCTATGCATGTAACAGAGAGCAGGATTTGGAATGGGAGGAGTCGGCCAGTTTTGCTTAGGACTGAATGGACAGTACCGACTTCACATAGTCCATGAGAGTTTCTTAATGAATGGGCCTAAAGCAGGTACCACACATTGGCAAAGGATTTCTGAACTGGCAGGAAATAAGGAAGTCTGCTTGCATCAGTAGTCACTGAGCAAGGGACTGGTATTATCAAGGGACTTGGGAGATCAGAATTTGCTCTCAGATGCCTGTTTATTCCAGATGAAGTTCTTACAATGCAGACAGCTCTGGAATGGACACAGTGTTTCTAAACAATTTTAAGGCGAAGCTTTTCAGCCCAGCTGGACAATGATAGAAATGTAATCACTGAACAATATAGGACAAAGCCTGCCAAGAGGTTTCAGAAAAAGCTTCATCTGATTAATGTGGTTAAACAGGTGGCCAGGCCTGGTCCTGTTTTTCTCATTGTGTCTCCTTGGAAGTGAAATTCAGCTCAGCTCTCTTGATGTCAGATATTCCCACCCTAGCTGTGAGGCAGTCGCTACGGATTTCTGAAAGCCAGAGATCAACAGAATTCAATTCCAGTAGCTAAAGATCAAATCAGAGGGATGGTAATTAATTATTTCAGGAGAACTTGCACCAGGGGGTCGTTGAGTGGAAAGTGAGTGATGAATACTGGGATGTTTGTTTTACAGTCCCACTCCCTCAAAGGTTTTTATTCAGCTGCTGCCTGTACACTATGAAGGGCTTTCCTTTCTTCTGAAAATATCTTCTCCCTTGGAGATAGTCTGCAACCTGTGGTTTAGATCCAGCAATCTCTTACCCAGAAAGCTTGCTTGGTGTGTCTGAGGTAGGAGCAGGGGAGCCTTGCTTTTTCTAAAGTGTTTTCCATGAGCCTCTCTCAGCTAGGTATATGGATTCTGGGTTGATCAGGGTCATCCTCCATCTTGGTAATGGCTTCTTCTGCTGTGCCAGGCTTGTGCCACTTTAGCTGAAGGAATTTTTCCATCAGGTCAGCTCCCAAGTTAAAGACCAGAGCGAGCCAGGCCAAGCCAAAAACAATCCAAATTGCTGCCAGGCTCCTGTACATCGAGATGTAGTGCTTGTTAGGATCTGTGCCTGAAAAAAATGTGAAACTTCATGTTAGACTGGACCCCTGGGACTGGCAAACAACAGGTCAACCAGATACAAAACACACATAATCTCATGCAAAGATCTACTGTGAGGTCATGTGAGCTACACAGATCCCACATACAAAATCTACTGTATGTGGGCATATGTACTAGAATGATTCACTTGTTTTCTTGCTCACGCCTGGCCTACACTAGAAAATTAAGTCGGCATAACTATGTGGTTCAGGACTGTGAAAAAGCCACACGTCGAGCAGTGTAGTTAAGCTGACCTAAGTCCCCGTGTATCCATCAGAGGAATTCTTCCGTCCGCCTACTACTGCCTCTCGGGGAAGTGGATTACCTACGCTGATGGGAGAACCCCTCCTGTCGACTTAGGTAGTGTCCACACTGATGTGCTACAGCAACACAGCTGTAGCATTTTATGTGAAGACATATCCCCAATGTCTGAGGTTCGGCTTGGAGTAGATGGGATCAAAATTGTAAGGCCCATCTGCACACAGAACCGCAGGCTGGGAACGTGCTGCTTTATTTAACTGCATCACAACACAGTGAGGGGAAAACTCCCACTGACTAAACAAGAAGTAAGAGTGGCATGGAGCATAGCTCCATCCTAAACTACTCTGGGTAACCCATTTAACCCTATCATGACCACTTGACTATACCTGCTATACAGCTGGTAAATAGGACAAGAAAGTGATGTGACTGATTCACTCAATTTGTGGCATCTCCATGCAATCAAGCTGTTACTTTAATCAAACTTCAACTAACATGTAGTGTTTAACCTTAACCAGGGCTATGTAAAATTATTCATTTTAGCCCATGTTGATGGGAAATCAACCATGTTATAACCATATTAGAAAAGCAGTTTTATTCTACATCTGGTTCTCTAACATGTTAGAATATTATTTTAGCCACACCCATGGTTTATTACACCCATGTTTTTTTCTGTAGTATGCACTATGCCTGAGTTCTGAACAGAGAGGACCAAATATTATTTGCTGAATACATTACCAAGCAAATAGTGTCATGTGCGTGTGTAGGGGGTGGGAGGGTGTCACTGATACCCATATGGCAGTTCTAGTGAATGAATGGTCAGTGCATCAGCTAAGCAGTGTAGTCAGTACTCCAGTCAAAAACTTTGCTTAGACTTTAAGGACCAAATGCATCACTGATCTCCACAGTGTCACAGCCAGGCCTTATGGCAAAGAGGCTCTCACAATGCACACACAAAACTTCTGGGAAGTTTGGGGAGGATAAACCCCAGAGAAAGTGACAGAACCTGTTGTTCTTTCTACACATGTGGACATTCTATACCTCATACGTTAAGTGTAGTGCTTAAGTGAGCTGGTGCAGAGAAAGGCCTCCTCTCTGGCAGTGACTCTAAGGCACAGCCAGTTCCCCTGCGGATTCTATGCTGCCATCTGGTACATTTTCATGTAAGGGCCTCTGCTTGCTACTAGTATTCACCCTGTAATTGTAATCGCTGGCAGCTCAGTATTAGACATGAGTCCTAAAAATGGTTGATAGAGTTTCTTGTGTACTCCATACGTGGGTGACACTAATTGGGATTGGATGGCTCGGAGGATTAGTAATGGGATATAGAGTCTTTCACCTCTACGTCTGTGGCTCACTCTAAACCAGACTGAGAACAGTTACTATCTAATCGGTGTTCAGTGGCCTGTGTGAAATGAATTTGGTGGGTCTTAGTCTAATTCTCAGTGGACAAGGATCCATACCCCTCACCACACCTGGCAATACTTAACCGCCTTGATGGCAATCTTAGTAGAGACATAGGGCCAGATTCTGATCTCACTTATGCCAGACTTGCACTGGTGTAACTTGTTAACTTCTGCAGAGTTACTCCCAATTTACAGTGGTCTAAGAACACAGGCCTATAAAATTCATCCAACCCCACCCTGTTCATTACCTACTACATAGTCCCCAAATCCAATGGTGCTGAGGGTGATGAAGGTGAAGTAGAAGCCTTCTCCATAGCTCCAGCCTTCTACATAACTGAAGATCATAGGTGGGAATACTAGAAATAGCAAGGTCCCAGCGGTCAGAAAAAGGGCCAATGCCAGCGTCTGCACTACCTGTAGGAGAGAAGGAAAATGGCAGCTCAGCGGCATTGAGTGTCTGTCATGGGGTGGTTGGTGGATTTTTTTTATTGTTGCTGGATTGTAGAAGATACAGTACCCCACAGAATCCAGTTATTGTGGGTACCAGTGGACAAGATGGAAGGGAGAAATGCTCATCCCCTTCTATGAACTGCAATCTGACCTGGTTATATTCTCTCCCTAGAGATACTAAAGCACTTCTAGTAATGGATTCATCAGCAGTATTGCTAGTGCCAAGCATTCAAAAATCATGATTCAGGCCTCAAAAAATTGTGGAAGTTTTAAAAAAGAATACATTAGGGGTTCTTTTTATTTGCCTTCTAGTTTCTGAGCCTTTTGGGTGAGCTCAGATCACATTTTCAAACATCTGTCTGCAACCAAGAGGACTAGGAACTAATTTTTTTTTAAATGAAAGCTGAGATTTTCACATGACTCTAGGAGCTGGACCTTTAACAAAAGCACCAAATATGTATGGCTCATGATAAAATGGTGAGAGTTGGCAACCATTGACGTCAATGGTCTTAGAACCAATACATGACTAATTCTGTGCATGCATTTGTCTTGAATGAACTCACAGTCATGACTACTGAATTTGCAAGTCTGAAAGCGTGGGCCTTATTGTCTCTGCCTCAGTTTCCCCCTAATGTAAAATAGTTCATTACCTATCTCCCAGGGGTATTGTGAGGATTAATAAGATAATGTCTGCAGACAGGTTTGAACAGAAAACGTGCTAAATATTACTATTGTTCATTCATTCGGGGGTCTGGGATGTAAGAACTTTATCACACAAACCAATAAGGTGGGGGAAGGTGACTAGCCAGGAATGTCTAGAAAAAATAATCAATTAATTTCTTAACACTAGTTTAGAGCTAACCTACTTTCCTGGTCTGTGACTTTCTAAAGTGAATGAGCAGTTAAAGCAGGTCCTAGAGATGAGCGGACCAGAGAGACAGACAGGCATAGAGACTCCACTTTGAGAAAACAGGATGTGCGAGAGGCTCTGAATGGGCCATAGATTCACCAAAGGGGCATTCATAGATCAGGTATCTGAGAGTCTTCTCTAATCTCTCTTTTCTTTGATTTCAGGGGCCAGCCACACAGTCTTTATACAGAAACATGGAGAACAAATTTTCTCCATTTACCTTGTTTTCCAAAATATGGATTGACTCAGACTGGGTAACCTACTGACAGGCCTTACCCACAGAGAGTGAATATCTATCTTAATTTAAACAGAGAGTAACAGAGGGAAAAGAATTAAGTGCCGAGTCGCTGGTCCAATTAGTGAAGGGATGTCAGATTAGAATGGACCAATAAAAAATGAAATTGTCTTGGCATACAGTAGAGCCTTAGAGTTACCAACGCCTGAATTATGAACTGACCGGTCAACCACACACCTCATTTGGAACCGGAAGTACGCAGTCAGGCACCAGCGGCATTTAACTATGTTAAATGTAAACTACTAAAAACATAAAGGGAAAGCAGCATTCTTCTTCTGCATAGCAAAATTTCAAAGATGGATTGAGTGAATGTTCAGTTGTAAACTTTTAAAAGAAAACCACAACCTTTTCTTGAAAGTTATGAACATTTCAGAGTTACGAACAACCTCCATTCCCGAGGTGTGCGTAACGTTCAGGTTCTACTGTAGTTTAAAACTACTAGGGGCTGGGCACCAAAGGCCTGATTCAGTGCAGCACTTAAGTACATACCTGTAGTCCATCAAAGTCAATGGGACTTGGGCCCATGCTCAAAATTAAGGCCATGCTACCGTGTTTTGGGGAATCGAGGCTTAAGACAGGCAAATATCGTTTCCTTCAGACAAGAGCAAATTACTTCAAAGTCATCATCTATAAATGTGACATGTTAACTTCCTGATATAGAAAGGACACATGATTATTATGTCCCAGGAGATACACACAAATAGGCAGCAGCAAAGCCGGAGGTGCCACTTGTCTCAGAAAACCAATTAGCTTTAAAACAGAGGAAGACCAATAATAAATTAACACTGTACCCGTGCACGGCCTGGCTTGTGCACCCATCTCTCCAGAGTGATCAGGTGTGCATTGAGTCCTTTCCCCAGCTGATTGAGAAAGGCCAGGTTAAGCGGCACCCCAAACAAGGCATAAAACACACAGAACACCTGCCCAGCCACCGTACTGGGGGCCAAGTTACCGTAACCTGCAGTGAAGGAGAGAAAAAAGGGACAATTACATTAAAAGGCTTTACAGTCAGTCTACTGGCCATGGGAGAACCTCCAAAGACTTGGAAGCTCAGTTTAGTTCAGTTCCATTAAGGCCCAGCTTATCCACACCTTTCCAGACAGAATTCTGGCTGGAGAAAATGGCACAGCTGCTGATTGAGCCTCAAATCTTTGTCACTATCAAAAGAACACTGGACATGAAAAATTATTATTTAAAAATGTCTTATCCTTCCACATTAGGGGTCTGATTTTCAACCCAGGTCTCCAATTTTGTGATGAATGCAACTAACTTGGTTTGCACAAGCAGATGCAGTACCTGTCTTGCACACACAGCGCAGTCACCCAATCTGCATATGCAAATGAAGGCTTTGCAGGTGCAAAATGGGCATGTGCCCACTTTTGAAGGTGCAATAAGCTGGGTGTGCAAAATGAACATGCAGAATTGGAGGCTGGCTGAAAATGTGGCACTTTAAATATGCCCCACACTGATACAGACTCTCCTGACAGGTCTAGCCTATCCAGCTGTCACTAGTGATTCAGTCTTTTACAGGACAGTTGGAGGAAGCATCTGTTGACAGAGGAAGAGGTTAATAGGAAGAGAGGCTACCTCACCTATAGTTGTGACAACGGTTCCTGCAAAAAAGAAAGAATTGCTGAAGTCCCAGTTGCTGGGGTTGGTAGAATTTCCTTCTGGGTTGACCCCTTTCTCCCATGCTTCCAGGATGACCTGAAGCAGAAGAAGAGCAGAAGAAGCACAGGTGAGCAGCATGTATAGGCTCATGACAAAGAGATTGTCAGGTAAAAGGATGGACAGGTGAGTGTTGATGGATGTCTCGAGCAAGCTTAGATGTATAATAAGCAATGGAGTTTCTAGACAGATTAGAGTTTGACCAGAAGGACCTGATAAAGGTCTCTCAGTGGCTCAGCAAAGGCCTGAGGAGTAGAGCTGGCCAGGGGCCTGTGCCCTCCTTATAGGAGAACAGGAGCACTCAAGTATGAACGTTTCAATAACTTGCTGGAGGATGAAGGGAAGGGAATGGAGGGGGAACTGAAAGTGCTTGAATTAGGGAAACAAAGTGATGATATACCATAAAAACAAAGGTTGCTCCTCCTCCATCCCTCCCACTCTCCATCTCATCCCAGACTTATGTGTGACTCATGCATGTTTGTGGGTGGAGCGGGAGGAGTGGCTGGCTCACCTCAACGTCCTGAGGACTAGTTCTGTTTTTAGTAGGGTGACCAGACAGCAAATGTGAAAAATCGGGACGGGGGTGGGTGATAATAGGAGCCTATATAAGAAAAAGACCCCAAAATCGGGACTGTCCCTATAAAATCGGAACATCTGGTCACCCTAGTTTTTAGCTATAGCGTCTCAGTATCTCCACCAATCATCTCCAGGCCTTTCCTTTCTGTCTGACAGCTTGGGGTTAACTAATGAGACATCCTGTGCTGCTCTTGACTGCTCTCACCTGCTGGGTGTTGCAGTGGGCCAAAGTCAACATGGGCAAAGGGAGTGCAGCTCCCCAAATTCAGTTGTAATGTGAAATATTTTACTTGTCTGTCAAAATCATAGAATCCTTGGGCTGGAAGGGGCCTCAAGAATTTGTCTAGTCCATCCCCGTGCACTGCTCAGAACTAACTATACCTCGACCATTCCTGGCAGGTGTTTGTCTATCCTGGTGTTAAAAAGCTCTAATGATGGGGATTCTACAACCTCCCTTGGAAGCCTATTCCAGTGCTTAATTACTCTTATGTTAGAAAGGTTTTCTTAGTATCTAACCTAACTCTTCCTTACTGCAGATTAAACCCATTAGTTCTTGGCCTACCTTCAGTAGACATGAAGAACAACTGATCACAGTCCTCTTTATAACAGCCCTTAACATATTTGAAGACTGTTATCAGGTCCCCCCTTGGTCTTCTTTTCTCAAGATTAAACTTCCCCTTTTTTTTAACATTTCCTCATAGGCCAGGTTTTCTTTTATAATTTTTGTTGCTCTCTTCTGGACTCTCTCCAATTTGTCCACATTGTTCCTAAAGTGCGGTGCCCAGAATTGGATACAGTACTCCAGCTGAGGCCTCACTAGTGCGGAGTAGTGTAGGACAGCAACCTCCTGTGTCTTACCTACAACACATACACTGCAGAATTATATTAGCCTTTATTGCAGCTACATCACATTGTTGGCTCATATTCAATTTGTGATCCATTATAACCCCTGGATCCTTATATCCAACTAAATGCCTCTGGGTGAATAGAATGTCACTTGGCTGCTGTAATATTCCCTCCACAGGGCAGTGGCATCTGTTGGAGTTGTGAGGATCTGTTCTATTTTCCTCTCACCACTTTTGAGCTCCAAGGTCCTGGCCCTCACCCTTCCACCAGGTGATTGAATGAACCTCATTTGTGCACCCACCACCCAGCTCCTTAATCAGCAGAAAGGGTTGCTTCTAGCGTGACACAAGATCCACAGGGGCTGAGTGTGCTGCCCCAATAGCCATCTCAGCCTCAACAACCCAACAACCATGAGGTCAGCACTAAAGGTTGGGGGATGATCATTCCAAACCCAAACCCTTGACTGCTGCTGGGGGCGTTATCTCTACAATGCCTCATTCCAGGGCAATGTGGATGCACTGCTTCTGAAATGTTAGCTGAGCTGATGCACACTGAGTAATACAACTTTTGGTGGTTGGGATTTAATACCTTACATTGTTCTTTCAGTAACAATTCTTACAGCATCCAGGAATCTGCAAAGACAGTTAAGACTGTTCTGCATCTGGCCACATTCGATTCTCTTATAGTAGTTTTATTCACACTTGTCTCCCTTCTGTTACCAAATAGCTTTGTTCTGGCCATTAAAATCCTCTTCCAGGAGTTTGACAAATCAAAATATCCAAAATTACTGCTGTGTTTTTAAGTGGGAATGAGGAGAGAAGAATGACATTTCAAACTGCATTGAGGTACCAGTCACAGTCCTTTGCCACTCAGAATACCTAAAAGAACCTCAGCTCTAACCCACGGCCCACAAGGAGCAACTCTCTGTTCTCCGCAGTTCAAAGCAGAAATGCTCAGAAGTATAATCTCCACTAAGATGCACATGCCAAGTGCAGAAGGAAAATGCCATGCATTTTTAAAACACCTTTTAAATACTCCAGCCATAAACACCCTCTCTAAGCCATCACATCCATATCCTGACACTGTGGGTCATATCTTCTGGTGTGGTCTGGCTGCTTTGTGACTCCTGCTTGCAGGGTCTGGCTGTGGCGGCGACATATCCAGACCCAGCCGGATCATTCCAGTGTAAGAAGGATCCTCTGGGACAAAACGTTAACAGAATGGCTTCTACCTCCTTCCACCCCTGATGCTGGGGTAGTGGGGTGTGGCTGGGGAAAAGGTGTGTAGCTGGTATGCTCCAATGCTGCACCAATCTGTCGCTGCCTTTTTCGTTCTCTTGGGACCATTAGCACCCAATGTAAATTAGAGCAGCCCTCCGTAAGGGGACCAGCCCTGTATAGAGCTATCACAGGAGCTGAACAGAGCAAAGGTGAACTTTATACCACTTTTTATTCCTTCCTCCCCACATGCACTGCATTCTCCTTAGCCATAGCCGAGGGTTTGGCCCTGTGTGTCAGGACTGATGTTATCTGACAAATGGCTGGAAGCGTGGGCCTGGGCAGAAAAGTGACTGTAAAAATGGCTCCTCTTTATGCAGCTGTTCTGCTTCCTGTCTGTATCTAGGGTCAGCTCCACTTCATTTTCTGACACAAAATACGTTTTTACCAGAGATGGGCCCAGGTCACAAAGTTTTATGTGAATTTCCCGATGTTCTAGGCTCTTCAGATCAGGCCAATCTCAGTGTTTCTCCTTCTAGGCCCTGCAGAACCAACACCGCTAATGGAGATGGAACAACAGGAATCTGCTTCTTGCAGAATCAACTCAATTGTTAATGGAGGTCAAGTCCAAACATTGTTACTGGAGATAATGTCTGAGCCAGAAGCAACGCTAACTTTTGACTCTCAGATCCCAGGGGGTAGAGTTGCAGGGCTGGGAGTCAGAAAGTCCAGCTTTTCAATTTAACTGAGCAAAGCCAACCCCGTGACACTGGCACACATTAAGCATGGAGCTGCAACAATGCCTTTTACACAGTCACTTTTCAGAGTAGCACAACACTTTAGATTGGGTAGACAGGTGCCTCATGATTGAACAGGTAGACAATAAAGACGACCGACAGGTGATGATGGCTTCTTAGCAGTACTCTCAGAGCTAGGGATTCAATTTTGGAATAATTTTATTCCTTCTTATTAATAATAGCTGGAAATGTGTCTAAAAGGCGTTGTGAGGGATGACACACAGTTCTCTGCTTGTCCTTCAGAGCTCTCCCTGTGATCTAGTGAGCTGTTTCTGAGTGAGTCCTTTTGAGTCTGATACATGATATCTGATACTTTGGTGCCCTCTGCTGGTTCTTTCCAGAACAGCTAGCAGTTGAAACATTCTTTGTGTTCAATACAACCAGAGGCTCAGCAAAATTCTTCTCTCAATGACACCAGTGCAACTCCTTTAGTTTGAATATAGTTCTATTGGTGTAAGACAGGAGAATTTGGCCCCCAGGGAGCATCCTAGGTTATTAGGGACTGAACTAAGTAACACATTATCCCAGTATACCAATTGGGATTAGAGCTGGAGTCATCATTTCTCTGTATCTGGGCATCAGGGCTCTCTTCTGTGTCATGTTCTGTGCCGTGCGAAGCACTCAACAAGTAATACATCATAGTATTAGTAATTACTCAGTGGTCTTAATGGAACAAGGTTCAGGCAGATTCATTCACTTCCTGCTACCTTTGTGATCTGTACTTCACTCTTCTATCAAGTCCATCTACTATGCCTGCCAGGCTCTTTGTTGATCCAGGAATTGATCGGTGGAAACCCATCAGACCAAGAGTACAGTGCAAACAGGCATCCTGTTTGGAGTAGTTTAATGGCCTTACTGAAATGGTTAGCAGAAGGAAAGGCTCCCAGTCTGCGGATGGAGAAATTGCAAGCCTGAAGAAGAGATCTCATTGATTCAAGGATTTCTTATTGCCCTGTCATTGCATACTACAACCAAGGAGCACAGCTTTCAGTAACCTTAGAGGGTATTGCAGCTGGTCTTGAAACTGTTTTAAGTTTAAAACCATTTATTTAGAGTGCACATTGGACCAGATGCAAGTATATGTTGTGTTGGTTCCTCTAAATGACAAAGTAAATGAGTTAAAAGATCTCACTGTACATGCTTTCACTTCTGTAGACCTGGTGTCAAATACTGCCTGAGATAACAAATGAAATGGAGTTACACATCTTAACCTGGTACCTTGTGGACATTTACCCACTCACCAAAAACATAGAACAATATGGCACAGCTCATGGCATTTGAAAGGGCTAGAGCTGGAACAGGCAGAGACATGCAGGGACGATACAGGTCTGGGCTGAGGTGCATCAGCAAAGATGCCTTTCTTCCTTAAGGTTTGCAATAGTGTTTATCAGTGCAGTACCAAAGGGCTGAGCTGGGCACAGGGCTGGGAGAGGGGAATTATGGTGAGGCAGCTCTGAGTTGCATCAGAAGAAATGTGTGTTTGGGGAGCCTCACCGTGGAAAAAGCAAGACATGCTGTAGGTCAGGATTGAAATGGCAGAACTGTGTGGAGGGAGCATCTGCCTTTTTTTAGACAGCTAGTTCTTTAATTGCACAGATGTTAAATTGACCTACGCATTTTTAGTAAAAATGGATAAACCCTCCAAGACCAAACTGAGCCTTGAGCTCAGAGCTGGGCAGCCTGCTCCTCTTACCTGCACAAACTGCTCCAGGGCTTGCTTGTCCAAGCACGTGTAGTTCTGCAGGAACTTGAGTTTCTCCAGCTGGAATTGGTCCCGACACTGGGCCTCTGCCTGCTTCTCCAGCAGCTGGAACACCATGGCCCCCAGGAGGAGGTAAAAGAGATACCCCAGCACCAGCACCAGAGTCCAGTTGATCCGCCGGCCGCGCACCACGAGGTGGGACATGCTGCTGCTGTGAGGTGGCAGGCAGCTCTCCCTTCTGAGCACTCACTGGGTTAATGTGCCGCGAGGGACACTGCCCCCAGCACCGAGGAATCACACGGTCTGTTTAAACAGCTAAAGGGCATCAGGCCTGTATGAAATGAAACGAGTGCAAACAGCATTCATCCCCCTTCATCTTGTCTTCAGCCAGGAGTGTACTAACTGGCGAGCCCTTGCTAGGTAACACGAATGTTAATCAGAACGCTTTACCCTTATAAAGTATCTTTTCCTCCAAGAATCTCAACAGGCGTTACAATTCTTGATGGCTGAAGCCCCACAAAACCCCTGTGAGGTGGGCAGCATTCTCCTCATTTTCTAGAGCAGGGAACTGAGGCCAGAGGTGGTAAGTGACTTACCCAAAGTCACACAGTGAGTTGATGGCAGAGCCAGGAAGAGACTCTCACAGTCTTGACTTCCAGCACCTTGCTCTAACCACTAGACTTCAGTACAAGGCAGTGCTATAATCTCTCTAGTTAGAGGAGACTCCCCAGAACAGAGAAAAGCATGGAGCTGAAGGCATTGAAAAGTCAGTATCTGTAGGCTGTACCATACAAACATTGGTGGCATCACTGAACACAACAGGAGGAAGCTCACAAACATGCTGAGTAAAGCTTGGTCACAAAGCAGAGTGTCGAGCAAGTTCAGTCCTCTCACTGCCTGGCTTGCTGGTTCCAAACTCTTTATCGGTGGACTCCACGCCTGGAAAAGCCCTTAGTCTGTAGCTTCAGGGAATGATTCACTCATCTTTGCTGCTGCCGCTCTCCAGGTTGCCCTTTTAATCCAAATGCACAAGGGGAAGGAGGGCTAAAGGTTAATCGTTAGCTAAAACGGTCCCACAGACTTACTCATGGGAGTCTTAGTGCTTTTCATGCACTGGAAGGGAGCTGGAGTTTTGTATTTTACAGGAGAGCCAATGGCATCTTGGCCAAAATGTGGCTGAAAGAAAACACAGCCAAGGCAAGAAAGCCACGTCTGGTGCTGTGGTTTTGTTATCAAACCTCCTTTCTGTTCAAATGCTCTGGATAATGGTTTCCTTCCTTTGCTTAGTGGTTAGGGTTTTTTCACCAGCCTTGAAATGGTGCTTGGGGAAGTAAACTAAAGGCTGTGACGGGTCACATCCCCTTCTGGGAGAATCTTCACATGCTTCATTTGAACGGCTGTTTGTAAGAGCCAAATCCTGTTGTCCCGTGTCAGAATGAGGGTTGGCTGACTGGCAGCAGACTGGGTGTAGCTCAGCCTCGGAAGCTCCTGAAAAGCTGCCTTACGAATATAGCACCTCTTGGACTTGGCTCAGAGCATAGGTGGCTGCTCTGTTGCTGGGTGGCTGAGAGGGGAGGAGGGGGCCTGGTAGAGAGACGCCACACTAGAGGACCCTCCAGAGGGTTAGAGTCTCAGTTCTCTGGTGAGTCCTCAGCTGAGGAGAGGGAGAGAGGAGCCAGAAACTGAAGTGAGATTGATATTGCCAAAAAACAACAAAACCTCCCAATGCAATGGTAAAGCAAATGGTCTAGAGACACTGAACCGCTAGCTTGCTCCACCACTGGAAGCAGAACTTCTGGTGGCTACAGTGAGGGCCCGGGCTTAGTCCTAGGGAGGGATAGCTCATGGTGGGAGGGATAGCTCAGTGGTTTGAGCATTGGCCTGCTAAACCCAGGGTTGTGAGTTCAATCCTTGAGGGGGCCATTTAGGGATCTGGGGCAAAAATTGGGGATTGGTCCTGCTTTGAGCAGGGGGTTGGACTAGATGACCTCCTGAGGTTCCTTCCAACCCTGATATTCTATGATTCTATGACCCACAGCAACAACCGCTGTGTTTTCTCCACTTGCACACAGGAGAGGCACAGCCCATTTGTTATGGATTGTGGGGGCTGTTGTACACACGTGACCTGGGACCAGATTATGTAAGAGATTGCCTGTCAGAGTGGCTGCAAAGCACGTGTTACTGCAAATCTGCATACTGAATATCTGATAGCTGGGCTCTTTCACTTCAACAGAGCAGGAGGCTGTGCTCTCTCACCAGAGGGGCCCTTGCCTCTGGGAGCTCTTCCTCTTGGCAGAGCCATCCAAACCTAAAGTTAGCAGCTTTCTGGGATTGCTGCCAATCCATTTATTTTGCTGAGCATTTGATGAACTCAGTTGAATTCCCACAATTGAAGAAGAAGTCATGGTGAAATGTGTGACAGAAATTAGTTAAATGAATGACTAATGAAACAAATGGTCTACCCAAACCAGTCTAGAACCTTTCTTCGGTTAGAAAGAGTTCAGAGATGACAATGACCCATGTTCCCTAACAGGCCTTGAATTCTTTTCAACAAGGGGACCCAATTATCAGACTTTGAAGCCTAAATCAATATGTCCTGGGAGAAACATCTGGCGATGCTGGTGGAGGAAAGATGGTCGCATGAGAAGGAAAAGTCCAAATAGGCATGGCTGTTATGGGTGAGACTCTTAAGTGTCTGGGGCTTTGATAAACTGAACCTCCAAATTTGTTGAGGTTTGTTCATCACAATACTTGAGACACTTGTAGCTGAACTGCCTTATGCATGCATCAGAGATGGACCCCATTTGGTTGGGCCGAATGAAAAGATTTCTAATGGCCTTTGATAGGAGGTGATATTATCTTTAATAATTAACTATTACTTAAAAAGCATTTCCAAAAAGTAGGCACCAAAAATCAATTAATTGAAAATAAAATATACCAAGCAGCTGTGGCAAAGTTGAAAAGAGACCTGGAACATATGATAAGAGATGTCCTGAGGATGAGGGTTTCAGTAGGAAAAAGAAAAAAGCAAATCGATTGCGTGTGCGAGAGAGAAAATGCAGAGTAAATACACAGTTGGGGATGAGGCGCTTTCTGGCTGAATGAGCTTGGAGATAAGTGCAAGGACAAAATTGCACAGCGGCCATTTAACAAAGATATTTTCACATGCATACACAGCTCCATGCAAGTGAACAGAACAGTGTGTTCTGAAACTTGTCGAATAAAACACGAGAGAAAATGGTTACGCTGTGTCTGCCCCTGTCATATCCTCCCATGGAAAAATCACATTTCTGATGAGGAATCGATTAGAGATCTCTCCCCAGCAGAGACAGTTGTAGGGCTTAAGGAATGCCTCTTGGATTTGTTGCTTTTGCTCTAGAATCTGTAAATGTCAATGTATTTCTTTTTTCCCCTTGATCAGAATAACCTCCCCAGTTCCCAACCAATTGTTACCACTGACGCATGGATTTTCAGTTTCAAAATGTTTTGAAGAGACTAAAAATGGAGTGAGAAAACCTGTGATTTGAAACTTCTCCCATTATTAGAGACAAAGGATGGGAGAACTCAGTTGTGTTTATCATTTATTGGTTATAGTATCGTAGCATCTAGCAGCCCTGGTGACGGGCCAGGACACCACTGTGCTAGTTGCTGTACAAACACACAACAAAAAGATGGTCCTTACTCTAGAGAGCTTAAATCTCTAAGTAAACCCTCTGGATTTTTTTTTTTTTTTTGGAGGGGGAGAGTTGCGGCCCTTTTTTTTTTGTTTGTTTTTTTGGGTTTTTTGAGTTTTTCAATACAGTTTTCTCCTAGATTGAAACCATTGTTTTCCAAGGGAAGCTCATGCAATGGAAACTATAAAGAGTCTCATTGGAAAGGTCTTCTTGTCCTAGTTCTGGGTTACACCAGGATGAACAAAAACCCAACCCAAACCAGAAGTCCCCAATCAGCAGCTCAGAACTCATGTTTTGCTAGACCCAAATGGAATTCAAACCTACAATTTTGGAGTTTAAACTGAGAACTCATGATGTCTGAGTGAGTTCTGAGTTTGATAGAATGAGCTCACCACAACCCTCTTGCCCCAAGTGAGACCAAAATATTGTAAGGCCTCCACATGACAAGAATTCAATAAAGGAATGTGCTAAAATAAGATTGGAAACCTCCTTCTGATGACCAGATGAAGTATAAGGTCTAATCCCACTTCTTTTGTTGTTCTTTGTGTACAGATGTTTTTTTTAACCACAGCTAGCTGGGATGGGAACAGATTAACCTACCACTGGCAAACATACACTTCTGAGCCTCTACCTTCTACTATGAATAACAACAAACAGTCGATAAACTGAAAGAAAGGAGGAAAATACACTTCAGTGATGTTCCCTTCCATACATGCCACTGCAGTAAATTCCCATCCTAGACTTTCCACGTATTGCTGTTGGAGAAGGAAATGGTTTCTTCATCCAGTGTCCTCCTTTCACCTTGGCTTTGACTGGAATAGCAAAATGAGTCTTAGCTCTGTGTGAGGACTACTTCTGCCAGCCAATCTACTGGCGCAGACTGAAAGAACTTCACTCTCTTATGTGAGTGGCATTGCGACCTGGCACATGGGGTCGCAATATGATGGAGGGGCAGCTGGGACAAATTTGAGTGTCAGGGGAAGTGCGACTCTGGGCACTAGGTCACAATGTCACTCATTCAAATTTGGGATGGCAGCCCTCCATCGTGATGGAGAGGTGCCGGGGCCAAATTTGAGTGGTGGTGCGACCCTGTGTGCCAGGTCACAACACCGCTCATTCAAGTGGGTGAAGTTCTTTCTGTTTGCAAGCAAATCTGCATTGGTTAACTAAAACAAAATGTACCCCTTTCCTCCCTCCCGACTCCCCCCATGAATTTGGGCCCAAGGCATGTTCCTAGTTTGCCGATGCGCTAATCTGGCCAATGCATTAAAATCTGGTCCTGAGCTCGGAAAAATTCTAGGGCTTTACAAAAACATTTACCATAAAAACTGAACTTGGGAGGCTCCCAGCAGAAATCTCATGAGAACGACTCGTGCAATTTCAGAGCTGTGGGTCCAAACTTGAACCCAAGCATGGATTCAGTCTTGACTCTGAGCCCTGAATCCTTGCCCAAATCTAACTTGGATCCAGATCTGAATGTTTCCTTCTTGGCTCATCTCAACTACTATTAATAATAGACCTTCGCTGTTCCATTTTGGCGTGAAGGATCACTGACCCCAAGTGGCCCAGCCTATGACACAGAGACCGTGAGATCTTCTGCAAAGCATGGACACCTATATGATTTCTAGGGTTGTGATCCACTTGACAAATCACATTACACTAGCTACACTAAACAAATGAAATCCCCCAAATCCCCCAATTCTGTTGAGTCCATCTCTGGCATTGCTCTCAAAATTCCAAGTCCTAAACATGGAACACGGGCTTTCAAAATATAGGACAGCTGCAAAATAAAGGACACACCTAAAAAAAAAAAATAGCCAAGGAAGCTTAAATTGATGTTTAATGTTAGTTTCTTTAAGGTAAGTAACACTGCCCATAACTTCACTTTCCTGATTCCGCATTTCCAGTGCCAAAAGCAATACTGTAATGAAAAGCGGGATAACAGCAGGCCTGTGTGGGACAGAGGTAAATTTGGGTCTAAAATGAGTAATGAGGTGCAGCTGACAGTTATGTTGGCTGATCCTGTGTGGCTCAAATTGCTGATGTGACAGGATGCTTATGACTAGTTTTCTGGCACAGGTTTCTCTGAACAGAGCACGAGGTGACAATCTGCATGCAAGGATACAGTGGTTCAGTGGGGTTTTGCTTCTGGCCAGAACAACTATGCACATCTAGTTGTTGAATTGTTTCAATTTTCCTTTTATGATTAGAGTGGTTTTTATTCCCTCAGGCTTTGTCTACACTAGCAAGTGTTTGCTGGTACAGCGATAGAGGTAGGGCTATACTGGCAAGCCCTCCTTGTTTAGATGCAGTTTATACCAGCTTTTGCTGCGATAGCTGAAACCAGTTCCTCAAACGAAATAAGCTATAGTGGCAAAAGCACTGATTTAGTCATACCCCCAACCAACATAGCTATCATGACAAAACTTTTAAGTGTTGACAAGGCTTAAGTTTCACAGCAGGAGTATGAGAACCTAGAGAGCACTCCTTTGAGGTGCAATAAACATGAATATCATGAACATACTGATTCTTCATGCATGACACTGTCCTCTGGCAATTCTCTGGCCTGGATTTTGATCTCACGTCAGTTTTATACTCATGCAATTTGATTTACTGACATGTATCAATGCAGGTAGGGGGGAAGAGGACCCTCTCTTTTCGAAGAAATGGATGAAAGAAGTGGCAAAGTTTTGATTATGCTTTTCTCACATAATTTCCACAAACAAATACCTGTTTCCTTAAATCTTACTGTTGCTCTGTCTCTGAACATTGGATCAGGTTGTTTCAATTCCTCACAGAGATAAACTCTTAAAAGTACAAAGTATCTTCAATTCGTGCAAGGCATCAATACACAGCCCTAAGTGCAAGTATGCTTATTATAGCATTTGTGTTGAGTAAAGAGCTTCAGATATTGAAGGACATGTCTAGAGGGCCATCTCAACTGCAATGCCCCTAAGAACAAAGAAAAGTAGAGGTAGACGTTAAGAATTCCTAGTTTTATTGTGCTGGCCTCAGATCGAGTCATTGGTAATAACTAGTATTATAATTCTGTGTGATGCTGGCCACACTGGTGAGGTTCCATAACAAATATTAGAGGAAGTGAAATGGAAAAAATTGGAAAAAGACCATTTACAATTATTTAAACCAAACCCCAAAATGATTAATGTAAAATCATATTAAAAATAGAAATTGGATTTGTTGTGGTTATTAATAAAATGAACATGGAAAAGAAATACATTCTATATAGAGACATCAAATGTGCCTCCGAGCACAAGTCATGCCTGGAGTTTCATCTTGTCAACATCCATATTCTCCAGTTGAGCAGATAGAACAATTAGCATTTACAAAAGCTTAACTCTTTCTTTGAAATGGCTTCAATTTATACTATTGATAGTAAACACTTCCATTCTAAGATTGGCTGAACTAGAAGAGTAACAACTCACAGAGAGAGGATGCTACAATACATACTGGTGATGCCATATGTGTGAATCTCAGTATTTGATACCTAGGCCTATGTCATCATGGGTTCAATCCTCTTTACAGGAGTTGCTAAGCCTGCGGCGGTATCATCTTTTCCTCAGAGTTCCTGTAGCTATCGTGGCCAGGAAGCAGTGGAAGGGGGGTGACCAGGGGTAAGAGTTGGAGAGCACAAGGCATCCACATGGGTGTCTCTGGCCTCTGTGTGGAGCCCTGGGGATTCACCACAAATGGGAGCAGGCTTTGTGACCCTTTCCATGAATGTGTGGACACACTTTGGCCCGACCAGAAGTGATGATGCTATTGGGGAGCTCAGTGAAGATCCATCTTCTCCTCTGGTAAAACCTGTGGAAGGGAATGCGAGTGTAGAAAATGTCTGTGTTGTACCACAAGAGGGGATGATGTGGCCCCTGGTGCTTGGCACAAGGTCCTCCTGGGAACATCTGCATGGCACCCAGCACTGTACTGCTACTGCCCCAAGACATCTCTGCAATCAAGGTCTTTCGATTTAGAAGACAGCTTGCTCTGGTTGGAGACGTTAAGTAAACAGAATTTACTATATCTACAAGTTTGCATAACCACTGGCTAGATATCACGGTCAACAGACAGTACTCAGTCATGCACAAAAACCTCTTTACTTAGAAAAACTGTTTAACAGGTGGCTAGGCAGGCTCAAATCCAAATATAAACGGATGCCACTGACTGTACCTTCCTCTTGGTAAACACCAGGGCCCTTTCCAGTGACTCAGGAGATTATCTGAAGAGGGACTATCAAGACAGGTAGCATTAGTATGCTACAGTCAACCCAACTGTCATACAGAAATAGGAGCTATCTAGAAGGTGCAGTCTTTATGGGGTGGTCATTGAAAAAATGGTGGACAAGTAATTTTGGATTAATGAGTAAGCACTTAACATGTGCAACTTTTTGTGTTTTGGGTCCTCCAGAGCAGGAAGAACTATGTCCCTTCTGCTACAAGTTATCAAAACCTCAACCCCCCACTTCCTCGCTGATGATGAATAACCATAGACTTGACCACCACTTCAGCTGGTGCTTGCTAAATTCTTTGCAAAACATACTGATTTCTGTGGCACTCCTGTTGATTTTTGCAGTAAATGGAAATGCATGGAAATACACTGCTTTTTTTTAAATAATAGATTACATTATTGATCATATTTTAATTGTTCATTTGATGAAAACCTGTGGCTTTGAGTATTTTCCAATTCATTGCATAATTTTCAGTTGCTGCAAAATTTAGTACCATTTGAAGTTGAAGTTTATGCCCTAAAGAATACATGACTCCTACCAATCAAGTTATCTGTATTTTGTACATGAATAACAAAGAGATTTCAGATTTCATTACTGCAAGTTGCTCAATAGCATGAAACACAGTGGTTTCAGTCTGAAACTATGTACATTTTAGAAACTAAATTTTGCTTTTATGTTTTAGATTTGCTTGAATCTGAAACTGAAAGTGAGACATGGGGTTGCAAAATGAGGTTATACAAAGAACAGTATTTGCAACAAAACATTAAAACTTTACATTTACATTTTCATATTTTGTTTGGATTCTGCAAAAATTGCCTTGATTTTACTTTAAACCTGCAAGATATCGTTGTTTTGGTTTTTTTAAACCTTGACATTTTGTGGATGATACATTTTTACATTAAATTTAATGTATCCAAGTGAAAGACCTAACATTTCTGGAAACTTTGATTTATGAAATTTCACTTCAATGCAGATCAGTTTTCATATTATAATTCGTGATCTCAAAATTTCAGGTATTTTGTATCAAAACTGCCTTTCTCACAAAAAACAAAACAAAACAATAAAAGTGATGTGCTGGCATTAATCAATGGTCCTGAATAAAACTACTAAATTTCATGACCCAAATATTTACTATTTTTGCACAGCACAACTGTGAAACCCACCTGAATCAAACCCAACAATGTTTGTACAAACACCTGTGGACAAAACTGTTGAATTTCATATAACTATATTCATAGGCTTCCAAAGTACAATCAGAAAAAGAGAAAAAACTGCATCAGCAGCAAAGAAATGTTCCACTTATAGTAGTGATGGAAAAGTGGTTTTAAAAAGTGCTAACTAATTTTGATGTTTTACAAAATAACCATAACATTCCCAATAAACAAAACATTTTTTTTTCCTGTCTCATTGCTTCAGTTGGGCTTGATCTTTGTCCATGCTGAAGAGATGATTGCACAGGTGTGACATACACAAGTCACTCTTTTTTCTCAGTCAAGCTGCAGACCCAAAGTGGTGAGCTGTTCCTGGTTCTTAAAGAGAGAAGGTGGGGGAAGAGGAGAGATTTTTGAATTGTCCATTTTTCTTCATTTACAGAGGGAGTATTGGAGTGCAACAAGAAATTCACTTGTTCCCCAAGCCTGAAAGCAGATAAGGACACTGTTAATCAGACTGTAGTTCAAGACATTGTCATCAATTTTAAACCAATGGCTACTCTACAGACAAAAACAGATGCAGGGCAAGAAGAGGTCTGAATCCAAGAGTTTTAGGCCAGCATATCATTGACCTGCCAACTGTTTTGACTTCAATATCCCAAGAATGAACGGTGAAACAAATGTTTATGCTCACAGAGCAACCCTTTGTAAGTAACTTTACGAGCTATGTTTAATGTTAGCAACCCCAGCAAGCTACTCCAAGGCGGCTTGATGAACAGAGAGATATCCAAACGAGCAAAAAGTACTGCATGTGTGCCTGTTTAATTAATGTCTGTTTGTAAAGCTCAGAGACATGAATGGCAATGATCTGTGAGCGCCTAACTAATCTCCCCCTGGGACCCCTTCAAAGAGGCCATTTTCCACTGTATTACTTTCATTAAGGATGTTGTGCATTCCCACGCTGATGCTTTTTCTATTTATGAAACTTGTTTTCCACACCATTGGCCTCTGCACACATTTTATCCTCTCTTTTCAGCTAATACAAAGCAGAGCCTTTGATGTGTTTCTGGGCTATTGATATCATGGAGCAGTTTCAAAGGGCCAGGGTCATTGAGGGAAGGGAGAGGAAGTATGATGACATTTTCCAGGCCTTAGCAGACTTTGGTTTGGCTCAGACAATGTTTTCTGCTGGAGTCACCTGCAGGGATTTCCCATGAAGAAAACCAAGCTCCATGAGTGAAATGGAACAGTCTTGGAGAAAGCACCATGATGGAAAAGAGCTCAAATGTTTACAGAATGGATAAGCCTAAAAAGGTTTGGACTCTGGGTACGCAGTATGGCTTAGTGGATAGAGCACTGGGCAGGGACTCAAAACATTTGGGTTCCATCTCTGGTTCTGCCACTAGCCTGCTGGGTGACCATGGGTAAGTCATTTCACCTCCCTGTGACTCAGTTTCCCCATTTCTAAAATGGGAATAATGATACTGATTTTCTTTGCAAAGAGATGTCTGAGATCTCAGAGCTAGTTATTATTATTGTCCACTTTCCCAAAGCACTCACTTTGAGCAACTCCCTCGTCCTGCCTACTCAGCTTCCTCTGAACTTTACCTGAGATTTCTTTACCTAATAAACACTGCTCTGGGCCCTCTCCTTTTCCTTTGCCCTGGGCCCAGCTGCTCTCAAAATCCTCCGTTAGTTAATCCATGAACAGTTACTGCAACAGTCACTATTACTGTCTACTGCCTTTAGCCTGAATGCATGTGTGGTTAAGACTTCCTTTATATTGGGAAGCACTGGTGGTGAACGTCACAAGAAGCAATGGAGAACAGAGATAGCAGGAGCATAAGACCAGGGGCTGTCGAAAAGCTGGGGGTGTGTCTGAGGGATGCGGAGAACTGAAATCATTTAGGGCCAAATCCAATCATAGATTCATAGATATTAAGGTCAGAAGGGACCATTATGATCATCTAGTCTGACCTCCTGCACAATGCAGGCCACAGAATCTCACCCACCCACTCCTGCGATAAACCTCTCACCTATGTCTGAGCTATTGAAGTCCTCAAATCATGGTTTAAAGACTTCAAGGAGCAGAGAATCCTCCAGCAAGTGACCCTTGCCCCATGGTACAGAGGAAGGCGAAAAACCTCCAGGGTCTCTGCCAATCTGCCCCGGAGGAAAATTCTTTCCCGACCCCAAATATGGTGATCAGCTGAACCCTGAACCCATATGGGCAAGATTCACCAGCCAGATACCCAGGAAAGAATTCTCTGTAGTAACACAGATCCCACCCCATCTAACATCCCATCACAGGCCATTGGGCCTATTTACCATGAATATTTAAGGATCAATTAATCCTGTGTAAGAAGGGTGTGCTGGTCCTGGGTGAGAAGTGAACAGAGGCCTCCACCTGGCTTTTGAAGGAGAGCTCAGAGGGGGACCCATCTACTGCACCTGGTGGACAATCTGCTGGCTAGGAACTTTGCTAGGCCCCAGTGCATATACTGTAATGTACAGTGCTTGGCAGGCTGTACACGTCTGTAAGTCACACTGTACCTTCTAAGTCATCCTACCCTGCACTGCCAGGCTGGTTGTGGTAAGCATCCTGCACGTGGTACCACACTTATCTCCATAGTGTTTATAACTGAACTTTAACACAGTTTAAAATGTGTTGACCATCCTCTGTTCTGCAGGCATCTCTTTCAGACACAGGTGGGCCTGAAACTTAAGTTTATCAGTTTTGGTAATGCCTAGCCTTCTTTGAGATCCACACATGATTCTACGTGATAGCCTATAGACAAATAACAAGCAGGTTAGGAAAGGCAGCTGACAGATTCATTCTTGATGGGCTTTCAGAAATTATTTCATGACAAATTGCGCCCTTGTAATTCAAAGTTCATTTTTTGTATGTTACAAACGGGATGAATCTTGGACCTTCTAAAAGCCTTAGATGTTTGCTTTAAATGTTGCTTTTTTCTGTAGCCTGGCTCGTAGGTGAGCTGCCTACAAATTTAACTTTAACGTCTCCAGAAGAAGCTTGACAACAGCCTTACTAAATTAAGACAAAAGGGAACCTAAACCCGAAGTGTGCTGAGTGTTTGCTTTGGATGGGCATAAGGTGGCTGGATTTGCAGCCTGTGTGTATTTACCTGAGAGTTATTCCTGATAAGCAGAGTGATACTAAAGCACCACTCTGTGATAATGCTAACACCATCTGCCAGGGGCTGATAGCTTGCAGAGTAATGCTGTCATCAGCACTTGAGTGGTGATGGAAAGTTATTGCTTCAGTAATCACTGCTGCTTTCATCTTCTCTCTAATTTGCTACTGTCATTAAAAACTGTTGTAAAAAAAATAGAGAAGAAACTTTTGTCTTTATTGTGATGAATTACTTCCAGGCCACCTCTGGGTGCCACTGCTGTGTGTTTACTGCCTTCTACCTACTGCCAGTTTTATTTACTCACACTGGAGAGTGAAATTTACTGTCCACCTATGACTACTCTTACCTTCTGATTTAGTGACAAATACCCAAAGGAGATTTATATTAGCATTGATATATATATATATATAAACTGCTGTAGCAGAGAGCTCAGTTTGGCCTAGTACAGTTAGCAGAGTTTACCTTTCTTCTGCAGGAGATTCTGTCTGGCTTTAATGAAAGCAAGAATGTCAGCATCAGTCTGGCTGTCTCCAGTGAGTGGGATAGACGAACTTGAACTCCGAGGGGTCCTGAAATAAACAAGTATATTCAGGGACTCAGCTGAGTAAGCAGATTGATTCTATGTTCTCTATTCCTGTCCCCTTTTTTTCTGTTTGAAAAAAAGATAGATTTAAGGGCTTTCGCCTGAGGTTGTGTTGGCAGAAGCCAGCCTAAGTTAGGGCAAAATCAAGGCCACGGTGTTTAAACTTTCCGATCTGTATACGCTTTTAAAATACACTGGGATTCCCATAAATCTAACAAACTGCAACCTGTTTAGTTATTACATGCTCTCCTCTCACACACAAAGAGTTAAAAAATATTTTAATGTCAACCCACAGAAAATTACTGTAAGCAGAGTTAAATAATGCAATGAGGTCACTAGAGAAATAGTGGGTGTATCTATGCAATGCGACTCTTTGCTACAGAACTGATGCTGCTATTAGCATTGGACAAATCTGTTGCATCTGTGCCTCCGAGAGGCAAGCTGAGTGAGCATTCCATGGAATAGCATGTCAGCATGGATGTACATGTAGAACGAGATTGTGGATCACATGATGTTCATGACATTTGCCAGCAGTCACTGCAACCAGGACAAGTCTAGGGGATAAACAGCAGCTTACTGCAATATCTTTTTGCCTATTTAAGTCCCAATCCTGCACTGAGTCCCTGTGCCCATGTGGTTAAGCCAGGACCTTACATTATAAATTCTTTGACACAAAGATCATGCGTCAGATCTTCAGCTAGTATAAAATGGCATGGCTCCATTGATGTAAATTTACTCCAGCTGAAGATTTGGCCCTATGCCTTCACATTGGTTAATAGATGAACTAGTCCATAACTGGTACCATAATAAATACTACTAACATTTTCCAAATAGAAACTATCATAATCAAAGCACAATAAAAATATGGAAAGGAATCATGATTATATAGACATTCTACTTTTTAAAAAACTCTTTTCTAATTTTGGTTTTCTCGACAGCACTTAAATAACTATTATGGCAGAATATAATCTTGGCTGATATAGAACAGATGTCTGATACTGTCCTGCTAATTAAGTCTCTAGCTGGTAAGTGGTGGTCTGCTGGCACAGAACCAAGATGGCAATTGTACAGAAATTGTTACAAACTCCACAAAATGTCTACTTTTATCTAATTAACAAGGATATTCTAAAACTCCAACAGAGCACTATTTCTTAGGATGATCTTTCTAGTAGCTATTAGTGGAGACATCTCTACAAAAACTATAAGGACTGAGTAAAAACTGAGGACCACAGGGGAGAGTCAGATATTCTCAGTTTAGGAAGCAGATTACAACACACTTTGTCACATGAAAGTCAACATCCTCCTTTATGACCTGGAGTTACTGTTGTGCAGCATCTCATGGGTTCAGACGTAGGCCATCAAGGAGCCATTATCAAGAAATTATTCAGCACAGTATAGTAACTAATTCATATAAAAGTTAACTTTTCTGTACCTTCTGCTAAATTTTGATTAGCAGCAGTGTTAACAGTGAAAAATGTACAGTACATAAGACCAGGTGCTGCCTAACTTCCATTTTTTCCATTCCGTTTTTCCTTTCTCATTTCACACACACACACACACACACACACACACACACTTTCTGAAACACTGATCTTTTGGGAAGAAATTTTCCATGCTTTGCCTCTTCTCAAAAGTGGATTATTTTGGAAAATTTGAGGAAAATACCTTCTGCTCTTTTTCCTATTGTAAACAAATAAATAAATAAATAAATAAATGCTAACCACATCTTCTTAAATACGGCTATAGTAAAAAAACAGCTCAAGTGTTAAACTTGAAGCACAGCAGGGTTATAGCTAGTTCTTTTTTGGAGTGGGGGGGGAAGTGAACATAAACAAAAGTGATTCCAAAAAATCTCAGTAGCCTCTGCTAACAAATTCATCGAGCATAAGGCAGCTATGCCTCCTTTGAGAAAACAATACAAATACTCACTACCCAGCCTGACAGACACAGGGGTTGTTGTTCTCAGTTGTTACTGGCATAATTTGCACAAAGGATAATGTGAATGTCTTAAGGAAATACACACAGCAAAATCCTATTAAAAATTCTGCTGTAACACCCGGGGTTGGGGAAAAGCATGGTGGTGAAAAATATTATGGATCTCTTGATTTTAAAGTCTCTGCATCCTACGTTGGTCTACAAATTCTAAGATCCCCATTTAAAAACAAAAGAATATAAAAAGAGCCTTTTATGTTGTTATGGTATATGTTTCACAATATGAACCAGCAGAAAACTGCCTCCAGTCAAACAGTAAGTGCACGAAACGTGGGGAGTCACCTCTCAATATGGGTGCATGGGGTATAAGTGAGGACATAGCCTTACCTTTAATTATAAAGTCAGATTCAAAATGAGCAGCTTCAGTATATTATTAAGAGACACGGAGAGATGACAATGGAACATTCAGGATTCTAATGCACTGGAGACAAAATGCCAGCCTACCTTACCCTCTGAATGGCACCAACATGCTCCCTACCTTGTATTTGAAGCTGAGTTGCTGATCCTGCTCAAGTTGTTTTTCCTACCACGATCTTCATTGGGGTTGACTCTACTGGTATCTGAAAAACTGGAGGTGGAAAATGGAGGGATAATTAAGAGTTTATGTGGAGGAAACTTCTGGATACATCTGAAATGACTACAATGAAGCTGGTTTTTAGAATGGTTTCAGAGTAGCAGCCGTGTTAGTCTGTATTCGCAAAAAGAAAAGGAGTACTTGTGGCACCTTAGAGACTAACCAATTTATTTGAGCATAAGCTTTTGTGAGCTACAGCTCACTTCATCAGATGCATTCAGTGGAAAATACAGTGAGGAGATTTATATACTCACAGAACATGAAAAAATGGGTGTTATCATACACACTGTAAGGAGAGTGATCACTTAAGATGAGCTAATACCAGCAGGAGAGCGGGGGTGGGGGGGAGGAGAAAACCCTTTGTAGTGATAATCAAGGTGGGCCATTTCCAGCAGTTAACAAGAACATCTGAGGAACAGTGGGGGATGGAGAGGGGGAATAAACATGGGGAAATAGTTTTACTTTGTGTAATGACCCATCCACTCCCAGTCTCTATTCAAGCCTAAGTTAATTGTATCCCGTTTGCAAATTAATTCCAATTCAGCAGTCTCTTGTTGGAGTCTGTTTCTGAAGTCTTTTTGTTGTAATATTGCGACTTTTAGGTCTGTAATCGAGTGACCAGAGAGATTGAAGTGTTCTCTGACTAGTTTTTGAATGTTATAATTCTTGACATCTGATTTGTGTCCATTTATTCTTTTACATAGAGACTGGCCTGTTTGACCACCGTACATGGCAGAGGGGCATTGCTTGCACATGATGGCATATATCACATTGGTAGATGTGCAGGTGAACGAGCCTCTGATAGTGTGGCTGATGTGATTAGGCCCTATGATGGTGTCCCCTCAAAGATATGTGGACACAGTTGGCAATGGACTTTGTTGCAAGGATAGGTTCCTGGGTTAGTGGTTCTGTTGTGTGGTTGCTGGTGAGTATTTGCTCCAGGTTGGGGGGCTGTCTGTAAGCAAGGACTGGCCTGTCTCCCAAGATTTGTGAGAGTGATGAGTCGTCCTTCAGGATAGGTTGTAGATCCTTGATGATGTGTTGGAGAGGTTTTAGTTGGAGGCTGAAGGTGATGGCTAGTGGCATTCTGTTATTTTCTTTGTTGGGCCTGTCCTGTAGTAGGTGATCTCTGGGTACTCTTCGGGCTCTGTCAATTTGTTTCTTCACTTCAGCAGGTGGGTACTGTAGTTGTAAGAATGCTTGAAAGAGATCTTGTAGGTGTTTGTCTCTGTCTGAGGGTTGGAGCAAATGCGGTTGTATCGTAGAGCTTGGCTGTAGACGATGGATTGTGTGGTGTGGTCTGGGTGAAAGCTGGAAGCATGTAGGTAGGAATAGTGGTCAGTAGGTTTCCGGTATAGGGTGGTGTTTATGTGACCATCGCTTATTAGCACCGTAGTGTCCAGAAAGTGAATCTCTTGTGTGGACTGGTCCAGGCTGAGGTTGATGGTGGGATGGAAATTGTTGAAATCATGGTGGAATTCCTCAAGGGCTTCTTTCCCATGGGTCCAGATGATGAAGATGTCATCAATATAGTGCAAGTAGAGTAGGGGCGTTAGGGGACGAGAGCTGAGGAAGCGTTGTTCTAAGTCAGCCATAAAAATGTTGGCATACTGTGGAGCCATGCGGGTACCCATAGCAGTGCCGCTGATTTGAAGGTATACATTGTCCCCAAATGTGAAATAGTTATGGGCGAGGACAAAGTCACAAAGTTCAGCCACCAGGTTTGCCGTGACGTTATTGGGAATACTGTTCCTGACGGCTTGTAGTCCATCTTTGTGTGGAACGTTGGTGTAGAGGGCTTCTACATCCATAGTGGCCAGGATGGTGTTTTCAGGAAGATCACCGATGGATTGTAGTTTCTTCAGGAAGTCGGTGGTGTCTTGAAGATAGCTGGGAGTGCTGGTAGCGTAGGGCCTGAGGAGGGAGTCTACATAGCCAGACAATCCTGCTGTCAGGGTGCCAATGCCTGAGATGATGGGGCGCCCAGGAATTCCAGGTTTATGGATCTTGGGTAGCAGATAGAATACCCCAGGTCGGGGTTCCAGGGGTGTGTCTGTGCGGATTTGTTCTTGTGCTTTTTCAGGGAGTTTCTTGAGCAAATGCTGTAGTTTCTTTTGGTAACCCTCAGTGGGATCAGAGGGTAATGGCTTGTAGAAAATGGTGTTGGAGAGCTGCCTAGCAGCCTCTTGTTTATATTCCGACCTATTCATGATGACGACAGCACCTCCTCTGTCAGCCTTTTTGATTATGATGTCAGAGTTGTTTCTGAGGCTGTGGATGGCATTGTGTTCTGCATGGCTAAGGTTATGGGGCAAGTGATGCTGCTTTTTTGTTTTAACTACCAAAAACACCTCTTGCTTACAGGAATAAGGGAATTTTCTATCCAACTTATGTGATGATGGCACTAGCATAGTGAATATGGCCACAAAAAAGCACTCTTAGGACTTAATGTTTTAGAGTGGCAAACAAGGGGGTAAAGAATCAGAGGACAATGCACCATTTCACTTTCTATGAAGGAGTTTTAATTTCACAATGGAGGATTTTGGTGTATTTTAGAAATACATTTTGTGAACTCTCTAAATTAATACTGAGCCAAACGTTGAGGCCTTAACTCAGTTTGTACCCAGCCTTTACTCAGGCAAAATTATTACTGAAATCAAAGGGAGACTGGATAAAAACTGAGCAAGGACCTACGGATCTGGCTTGTTGATCATAGCTTTGCTTATTGCAAAAGGGTGTAGCACATTCTGCCCCTGGAGAGATGCCATTATCAAGGGATCTCTCAATTAGGAAGGCAGATTTCTGCCATAGATGTCAATTTCACCTTGTCCAGCAGCTTTCCTGTGTCTATGGGGTTAGTATATACAGCAGTATTTCTTATGTCAGTACTAAGAGAGAATTACAACATGGTGTTATTCAGGAGCAGTGTGTTTCCGCTAGGTGGTGGGCTTGGTGTATTCCTGCTTTTTTAACCCTGCAGTAGTTCATTCACTTTGGCTTATGAATTGATATTTCTGGCAGAGAACTTGAAAAAGGAAAGAAATTTATTACTAATATTTTACTGTGTTACATCGTGCCAGGTTCAGTTTTGCAGAATATACTGTGCCCAAGAGTATAAGTTATTTTCAAATGAGAAACTCATAGGTTATGGGGTTGAACATTTCTCTTTAACTCCTGAAGTCCTATACCATTGGTATCTGCCTACTGCATTGAAATGACACTCACTTTAAATTAATTAAATACAAAATGCAGCTTTCAATAAGTGTTTAATACTTCATGCTTATCTCACACCATTGTGTCTGGGTGTTAAAAGGGCCTCAAGAGAATGGGTAATGTATGACATATTTATTACTGTGATGCAATAACTAGGCACAAAGGAGTTCCACTTTTCTTCAGAGCTATCAGATCAATACAGAACTTTAGAACTTGAGTAAAATTTTCAAAAACATCTGAGTGACTTAGAGGTGAAGTCCCACTTTCAAATGTGACTTAGGTACTTAGGAGTCTTCTCTTTGACTTCCAACTAGAATTAGGCTCCTAAATTCCTAAGTCACTTTTGAAAATAGAACTTAGGCTTCTATATCAGTTAGGTACTTTTGAAAGTGTTCCCTACAGTTTTCACTCTGAACATACCTCAGGTTTATTTGGGTTGCATTAGAAAATTATCAGCCTCCTTTCTGACAGGGTCTTGGAAGGCACAGACAGGCCAAACTGCTGATTTCAAATCTTGTGAGTTACAGGGTTTCTGGGGAATTGAAGGGAGCGAGGTATTCTGTGTAGAGTGGGCAAAATATTTGCAGCAAGATTCAAACTGCTTGAAATTTGAGCATTTTTAGTGACTTGAGTTTTGTGGGTGGTCTTTTCCCCACAAATGAGCTCAAATGGAAATTCACCAACAGAGGATTTTTTCCTCAGAGACAAGGTGGGTGAGGTAACATTTTTTATTGGACCAACTTCTGTTGGTGAGAGAGACAAGCTTTCAAGCTACACAGAGGTCTTCTTCCGCAGACACATTATAATACCCACAAATGTTCCGAATTGTGACATTTCAAGGGCATGAAAAATGGACAAAATGGAAAATGCTACAAAAACGTGAAAATATTTCCCCAGTTTCACACAATACCTATACAGCGAATGACTCCTGCAATCCAGGAAAAGAAATGTAAAGACAATAGCAGGTAAGAAGTCATCAGAGAACGTAGAGGACCTGAGATTATCTCCTGTGGAATGTAAATTGAAAGTAGGGGGCCTCAAGGACAAAGCTAGAGAGTTAAAGGGTCTGTTGAGGTCAAGGAGAAAGATTTGGATGTCTATGGAGTCTGTTGGAGTTGGAGAAAGGGAGTTGGGTGAAGCAAAAGGGATTGGATAACATTAAGAGACAAAGATCTGACTGAGCTGGAAACAGAAGTGGAGACAGAAATGGGAGAAGGGAACCCTCCAGAGCTTCTGAGAAGATTTGTATAAGAATCAAAACTTTCTAGACTCAATGAGAATGCACCATCATGTGAACAGTTCCATCCTTCACTAGCAGTTAATCTAAATATTCAGCGAGTAAAGTTGATAATACAAGAATCTGATAAACTTCCTAAATAAAAACCAATGTGAGAGAGGAATCGTGGAATGCCTATCCACCAGGATGAACTGAATACTATCCTTGTGTTTTGGTGTGGAGCAGCAAAGGAGTACTGAGCCAGAATTGTACAATTTAAGATGTTTTACAGAGTTAGTAGGATGCCACAGACAGACACACGCACACCCACACAATTGCAATTAACTCACAGCTTTATGCTGACGACCGTGTGGATAAGTGAGTGCATTCTCTTTCTGATGCTTTGGGAATTTCATCAGGTATATTTTTTAGTAAAATAGTCTCTTGTTTTCTGTATTTCATATTGCTCTCCCCTTCACATTATATTTTCACTCTGCGTTTGTTGAGATATTCATAGACCTTTTTCAGTCTGGAGAGATGATCAGCCTTTCTCTGTTTTCTCCCCATTGCAGAGTTTTTCATCATTGTGACTAAATTAATTTCCTTTGAATGGATTGGATTTGCTGCTTCTAACAGCCTCATATGACACTTGTTAGGAGCTGTTCACATGTTGCATTTGCACTAAGTCTAGAAATTTTGGATATATGAGATGATAAATTTAATTTAGATTTGAAAACTTTTATTAGAAGATCTAGGAGGATTTACAATTAGTATCACTTCATATGTACTCTAAAGATCTTATTTGAAGCCTTATGCTCTTATTAGGTAACATTTTTTGTTCTTATTTGTATGCATGGATATTTTCATTATACGTCATTAAAGCTTACACAAAACCTAAGAAAATGGAACAAAAATTTAATATTATTTTTGATGTCTCTGGCTGTTCTTCCTCTAACTCATCAGATGTTGTTGACCTTTTTCTTAATAGGTTGCCCGTACACCCCCATCACTATCAAGAATTGCAATCACTATTTGAAATCTCTTTTGGCCCTTATGTTTTCTGAACATTTCAGATTACTGTTTGCAATCAGAGAAGGCTATAAAATATTCAAAACTACCTAGCATGAAGCCTTGTCCCAAGAATGGCAGAGCAAGCAAGTTTCGTTTTGTAACGAATGTTTCTGGTTAAGCCTCTAGAAAATGCCTGGTATAAATTTCAGCTATCTGAAATACATCAGAGATGGTAATATGAGTAAGGCAACACTAGCTTACCTGTGTAACACAGCACTTTTCCTATAGGAAGGTAAATCTCATGTAGAATACATTGAGAATGGCTTGTGTGTAAGTGTGTGTTTATACAAAACAAACCACAAGGTACTAAATTCTGTTCTGCTGCTATTGAAATCAATGGGATTTTTGCCATTCACTTCAGTGGAAGAAAGATCAAGCCAGTGGTTTTGGGTCTTTAAGGCCTGATCCTGTGAGGTTCTAAGTTCCCTTGCTTAGCACTTTATAGAACTGACCCCTTAGTAACACAGACTAGTTCTGTGTGAGTTGCTAAGGGCTGAAACACTGTTTTATTTAAAGGAAGATAAATATTTGGCCACAAATTTGTTAATTTTGTCCATTTAAACCTAACACGGATTACCAAACTGTTCTTGGACTTAAGTTATAAATTGACCTGATACATTATGCGGGGGGAGGGATAGCTCAGTGGTTTGAGCATTGGCCTGCTTAAACCCAAGGGTTGTGAGTTCAATCCTTGAGGGGCCATTTAGGGATCTGGGGCAAAAATTGGGGGATTGGTCCTGCTTTGAGCAGGGGGTTGGACTAGATGACCTCCTGAGGTTCCTTCCAACCCTGATATTCTATGATTATCATGTATTACTTGGGGATATCTCTTCTCTTTCTGAGACCTGATCATCTCTGCTTCCTCTAATTAATGACATTCCGAACAGCCATGGCACAAATTAAGTATTTTATTCTAAAATGTTTGTAAAGTGCCTCATAAACAATAATAGTCAACATAAACTGTGCATTACAGACTTGTAAGATGACCAAAGGGTTTTCTTAGAATGAATATATAGATTTTGAGAAAGGTTACCTTAGCCAAATCCCTGAGTTGTATCCTGGGATGGTGAAATGTGCCAAGACAGACATTCTATTACTTCTAATCCTGAAGTCTGCATTTGCCTCTGTTCATACCAAGGAGCTAGTTTGAATGGTTTTAGTGCGTGCTTATTCTGTCAGTGGTAGTCTTACATTTCTGACAGGGAGCCCACTAAGTGTTAGATTTTATGTCCATTCAACATATCTTCTAACTGTATTCCTTCTCGGATATGGCTCCCTGTTTCCACTGATCTACATACAACATTATATGGTATATAATTCATATCAGCTTCTACTTGTGACCAGTCTGCCGGATGGGTGATGATGGTAGTATCAATTTATATGAACATATTACCAGTTTCTTGGTGGATTGGGTAACAAAGGGCCATTTGTGAACCAGGACTATGTAACAGAGAGGGGAAGTTATAGCCAAGGTCTCATCCTACATAATGTAACGTTACTGAGTCTACTGGGTACAAGGGAATCCTTGGGCAATGAGCATTCTGCTATTATATTCTGAAAGGTTTCAGAGTAGCAGCCGTGTTAGTCTGTATTCGCAAAAATAAAAGAGTACTTGTGGCACCTTAGAGACTAACCAATTTATTTGAGCATAAGCTTTCGTGAGCTACAGCTCACTTCATCAGATGCATAAAGTGGATCCGATGCATCCAATGAAGTGAGCTGTAGCTCACGAAAGCTTATGCTCAAATAAATTGGTTAGTCTCTAAGGTGCCACAAGTACTCCTTTTCCATATTCTGAAACTGTGTGAAACTGGAAACTTTCCCTCTAAAATGTTAAAGCCTCAACCAGGTTCCAAAGAGCAAGAGTACATTTTCATGCACAGTGGGATACTAAGCCTGCAGCTCCCCCTCACAATAAAAGAGCTGTGTTTCTAATTGTGTGTGCATACACTGAAAATATACCTGTGTGAAATTGGTTTAAAGAGCTTAACATAAAATAAGATTAACTCTCCATGAAACTATGAGAAAAGAAGAACAGTGGACTTCAAAAGGTCACTACAAAAGTAACTTCAAAGGTGAAATTAGATACGGGAAAACAAAATTACAACTACACTGGCTCCTCATAGAACATCACATCAGTTCAAGGTCTCTGTCCTTACATTCAAGATGCTTAATAATCTCAGCCTAGGATACATAAAAATCACCTAAAACTCCAGGACCAGGACCACGGTAAATAGCTAAACCCTGGCACAATGGAACTGTCTAGTGTAAGGGTAAAGTTTGTGCAGGAGAAATCATGTTTTCCCTATTGTTTTTCTTCAGTTTGTTCATTTCAGCAGCCCTTTTTTCTTTACCCTCAAGACAAAATGCTGTAAGCAGACTTGAAGGGGTAAGGAGGGGAGGAGGGGAGTACCTCCATTTGATGGACACCCAGCCAGCCAGTTAGCTGTAAAATCCCTCTTGGTCTGTTCTCTGCTTGCTTTACCTGTAAAGGGTTAACAAGCCCACAGGTAAAAGGAAAGGAGTGGGCACCTGACCAAAAGAGCCAATGGGAAGGTAGAACTTTTTAAAATTGGGAAAGAAACTTTCCCTTTGTCTGTTGTTCTCCGGGCTGCAGGGACATGGAGCAGTAATATTGTAAACAGCTTTAAGCCAGGTCTGATTATAGATTATCAATTCATACCTCGAACCTACTTATCTGGAGCCTTAGATATGTAAGTAAAATTAGGGAATGTCTAAAAAGATGCAATTAGGGTTATTTCTTTTATTTATTTTTTGGATTGTGGACTCCTCTGTGCTAACCCCAGATGCTTTTGTTTGCTTGTAACCTTTAAGCTGAACCCCCAAGAAAGCTATTTTGGGTGCTTAATTTTTGGAATTGCTCTTTTAAAATCTAGCAAAAGCCTAAGTTCCAGATGTATTTTCTTTCTTTTTGTTTTTAATAAAATTTACCTTTTTTAAGAACAGGATTAGATTTTTGGTGTCCTCATGGGTTTGTGCCTGTTGTTTGATTAGCTGGTAGCGACAGCTAATTTCCTTTGTTTTCTTTCTCAGCTCTTCCCTGTAGGGGGGTGAAAGGGCTTGAGGGTACACCACAAGGAGGAATTCCCAAGTGCTTCTTCCTGGGTTCAAAAGGTTTTTTTTTTGCATTTGGGTGATGGCAGCGTTTACCAAGCCAAGGTCAGAGAGAAGCTATAACCTTGGAAGTGTAATACAAGCCTGGAGTGGCAAGTATTAATTTTAAAATCCTTGCAGGCCCCCACTTTCTGCACTTGGAGTGACAGAGTGGGGATTCAGCCTTGACAAAGACATACACTGATCACTTACAGCAGTTAAATTAACTGTGGTATTTGTAATATTCCCCATTCTAAATACTGCCAATACCATGATAAATGTATTCCTATAGTACAATACATGCTAAGATTTTAATGGCACCTACTGCAGGTAGCTGTAATAAAGCCATAACGCAAATTAACTTGTCTCACAGCCATGGGCATACCACGATATTCAATATTTAATGGCACACGTGAGGTAATTTGGGTGGTTCAAAAGCTAAGTACATTGTTGACGTACAGTATCTTTATAAACCAGGGAATAAGGCCATCTCTAGCAGGGGATGAGAGAAGGGGCTCAACGCCACTAGAAATAGGTTAATCTTTTCCATCGGTTTAATCTTGGAACATGAAAACTGGTAAATTCATGTGTGAACTAAGCCTCTCTCTACATATGTGCAATGACATCACTCCACAAAATGGATGGATATGAGAGATTTACCTTCTCAGCCTAAAATTGTAGGCTGTGAAATCAGAAGTGACAAATGACAGGATGGAGAAGATGGCTGCCTTTTCTAGATACAGGGAATGCTTCCCTATTCTGAGATATCAGATTTGCTATCAAAATCAAGTGAAGAACAATAACTATAGCAACAGAAGATTTTTCACAGTAAAACAAGGTTTCACACTACAACTAGCCACCCTAAATACTACTGCAAATAATAAGTGAAAGATAAAAATATTTCTTTTGTATCTATTTGTCCATCAGTCCATTTCATGCCCAGCACTGTGGTACCTCAGCAATACATGATTACCCAGGTGCAACACAATTTTTACGAAGCTGTTTTCCACAGAAAATGTCTGCAACCTACAGAAGAACTGAGAGGCAATAAGCTCCAATTAATGCTGTTATTGGCTGCATAGATGGGGAAGTAAAACATTCAGCTTACCTGTTAGTATACAGATGTTGCTGGGATTCAAGAGACTGGGGGGAAGCCCTCAAGGCACTTGCTGAATTGCTCACTGGTAGTTTCTCTTGCTGGTCCTAGAGAAACAGAAATGTGCAGGGTAGAATTTTTAAAAGCTTTCAACATCTGCCTAATTCTGCTCCCATGAAAGTCAATGGGAGTTTTATTATTGACTGCAATGGTAACAGAGTTAGGCCAATCCTCAGTGCCTTTGAGAATCACAGCCAAAGCCTTGTATCCAAACAATGCTTTCCAGTTTAGCTGCATCCTCCTGCTGATCTTATCGTTGTCACAAGAACTCCTGTAGGCATTCCGAGAAAGTGTTTAGGAGTAGTTTAAGAATTTTCTAGCTCAAATTTCAGGTTTTCAAAATGTCTCAGCAGCTGACCTGAGTTACTTAGTGTGTTTAGATATATAGATAGGTCAAGGTTCAAGGTATCAAAGTAATTATTTAGTCCTGATTTCTAAAGCTTCCATTGATGAATCATGAGAGGCTGATCTTGGGCCTCTCCTGTGGACAGACACAGAAGACATCCTCCAGTAGGTACAAGGATTATACTTCACAGCTCTCTGAAAGGCTGTGTTTGCAGATAGCAAGGCCATTAATCCCCTCCCCATTGCCACCCACACAGTTATAATGTTTTCACTTGACATGTGTTTTGCTACCAAAGCTTGCATTTAAAATAGTTAAGTTGCCTGATGCCATATCAAGATAACAAGTTCATGGAAGTTAACTGTACGTTCAATACATTTCTTTATAATGTTTTTATAAAACTACAGTTTAGTTATTAATATAGATTTTTTTGGAACAAAAAGGAATATTGGCTGAACATGTTAAAATTTTATTTACTTATAATTTTTTACTCAAGGAGTATATATGGTCTTCCACGTGGTCACATAATACTTGGATTCCACATTCTTTTTAATTTAGGCTCACATCTTATCATTGTTATAATTAGTTACGACATGCAGACATGATCTCAAATGTTTGGGGACGATCTTCTACTAGCAGACATAATGGGGCTCCCTTTCAACATGTTATTGTCACCACCATCTATATCTTAGCGAAATCCTGCCAGGAAAGACTTTTAGAGAAGTGACAATGAGAAAGCCTATGAGAATGATATCTCTTGTGATGTTTTTTGCCTTTGTGATATCTCCTGTGATTGTGAAGCCGTGTATCTTAGCTTGTTTCACTGTGGTACAAACTTTTTAACATATTATTTTAAAATAAACCTATTTAGTGTGTTATAACTACAATTATTAAGTTGGGGACTCTGCTTCTGTGGATTTCCTAAAGTTGGCTACAGTATCAGTTGTGGAAGTTGGCTGGAGAGCCAGGAGATGTGCTGGCATTCTGAGCTGAGAATAGGTGAACCACAAGGGAGCTTAGAAATTCTGTAGGGCTACAGGGGTCATCAAAACCAGGGGAAGTTGGAAATCAGTTGCCTGTGTTGGCTTTCATGGATGTGCTACTGGTGGTGGCTGCCATCTTCCAAACCCCATGTAAATCGTAAAGCAGCATAGATTTTGTGAGCAATAAGAGATAATCTGGCCCTAAGTCTCCCCTGGTCACTTTACATTCTTTAAAAATTCATTGGAATCGAATGCATCATTCCAATGTATTCAGTATCCTCGTAAACATCTTCCTGAGCAGGCCTTTCCCCATCTCAGAACAGGCGGGTGCAATAGATGTCACCAAGATCTTTCAATTCCATTTGGAATTCCTCAGACAAGTGTTTCTGAAGTAAAACGTTTAAAAAAAAGTTAAAAGATATTGAAAACATGATTAACATGTATTGTTTCTGAGTTAGGTTTTATGTGAAAATGACTTCTTTGGAAGATGTTTAAGAAGGTGCCAAACTAGGGCACACAATGGGGGGGAAAAGGGCTTGATAGTCCTTTCACTTGCACTAATTTTACACTAGTGTAATTCTATCGAGTTCTGATTTACACCAGAGTCAGAGTGAGGAAAATCAGGACCAAAGTTTCAACCATAATAGTCCCCTTCCCATCTAATCAATGGTTTCTTTAGGCAACAAGTGCAGATTTAATTTTATATTTGCATAGCGTTAAAGGAGACATTCCGATACCTGCAGATTCGATGCCTCCTCAGACCACCAGACTTCAAAGTCTTTTTGCAGTTTCACCTTGGCTTTTTCCATAAGAAGCTGCAAGTGTTCAATCTCTATCTTCAACCCTTTCAAGTGATTGAACATTGTTTTATAACTGCAGTGAGAAAGGAGAAGAGGGTTTGTTCAGAACAGAAAAGTTTTGTCTTTGGCTCTGGGAAAACATGCTGACAGATCATTAATGTAGTTTTATGCTACCCATGGCAGTTACCAACCCTGAACTTCAAAACAATGTCTCAAAGCCAGGGATGGGGGAGCATCTCATATTTTATTAGAGCTTCTATGGGCAGCAGATACAAAAACCCGACCCTAGCAAATCATTTATTGCTCCTGAAATGGCCATGGGAGCAAATAACAGATGGATAAGTATGTTGTCTTGGTAGCACTCCCAGCCCCTGCCAGCTTAGGACCAAAGAGCAGATTTCTAACTCTGATCCCAATGAATAAATTGCTAACTCTGATCCTCAGTACTGTAACATATTGCACTATGTTTAGACTGCCAGACCAGGCTTACAGATTTCCCATTGATGTTCTATTATATTTTACAGGAAACTAGCTGACATTTTAGACTGAAAGTGGAAAGTTAATAGTGAACCGGAAAGATGGCATATTTGTAATAATGTCAAAGCAAAGCAGAGGTTAGTGGTGAGTACTGAAGTCTTATTGGGACACACTGCACATATCCAGATGTCATTTTAATTTGATATTTGAAGTATGTGATGAGGCAGAAACAACACCTTTTTTTCTCTTCTTCAATTTGTGCTCGAAGCTTCTCTTCCCCGGGATCAGATTCATGTAGATCTTCAGAAGGACTGGCAACACCTACAAGTAGAGGTTATCAGGGGTTAGCAACGATCATACAGAGCAGGGAAATGCATTTTAATTAGAATAAGAACAGCTTGAAAGGTGCTAAGTAGTACTATGGGGTAGTGCATTAGTCTTTCCCTCTGGGGATCTGGGTTCCAAATCCTAACTTAGGCCTTGTTCTGATTTTCCTCACATGAGTGTAACTCCAGTGACTTCAGTGGAGTTAAACGAATGCAAGATCAGAAGCTGGCCCTTACTGTGAATTACACATAGGCCCAACAGCAGAGGTGGAGGAGCCTGGGACTGGAATAGCAAAAAGGAGTATTGAGGTACAAACTGTGGGGAAGATTAACTTTGATACGCACTAAATTCAACTACTGAATATAAACAAGGGGAACTGCTTGAAACTTGATGTGCTGCAAGAGGTTGGAGGAGGCAAAAAGAAATGTGAGGGGAAATACTGCCATAGAATAGAGCCTAAAATGCATGGAAAGCAACTTAGGATCTTTTTATTCTTCAGTTAACTTTGTTAACCTGATCCTTGCTGCTAGACAGTATGTTTGCGCTTCAGCAGCAGTTTTCTCAACATTTGCTGAAAGTCAGGAAGTAGAAGATACATTAGGTCAGACTGGAGGCCCAAGTTCCTGGATGGTTTCTACATCACAATGCCAGAATGTGTCTGATCAGTGTGATGCTGGCAGACTAGATGCCAGCTCATGCCAAGGCCCTAGGTCTCAACTGAATACTGACAAATACAAGCTGGAACCAGTCCAGCTCACCTGGATGTTAATACTATTAAAATAGGTATTAGAATTATAAGAATGTGTTTAGCGTTTAAAGTTTATGAAATGGTTGTAATTTGCTGCATGCAAATATCTGTATCACATGTTATAAGGTAATATTTAAGTGTTTGCTTTGTAACTGGAAATCACCAGACAGGAGAGGTATTAATGAGTGTGAAATACTAGTTTCCAACAGTAGGTGCAACTCTTGACTGACAAAGGAGTCCTATCAACACCGGATGAACTATTGTGGAAGATCAGGGGACTCAGAACTTCGTTGATTGCTCCTCTCCTCCCCATGAAGAGGAAATGTGCAAGTTAATTTGTCCCAACAGCAGAATTTGCAACTTGAAGCAGAAGGGGGGGAAGGAATAAAAAGCCCTAAAAAGGAGGAACTGTATCTCTTTGCTGCTTGGACTTTTGGGGGGCAAGATTCGTAGGCATAAGCAAGGGATTCCTCAGTGGACATATAGAGCTGGCTTATTATAGAAGCTTCTATTACTTTTTGAAACTTAAGATGAGAATTCATTTGTGTGTATATTTACTTGCTTTAATCTTGTAAATAACTCTCTTATTTCCATTTCCTCTCTTATTTCCTTTTCCTAGTTAATAAATCTTTAGATAGTTTATTTTAGGATTGATTACAAGTGTTGTCTTTGGTGTGAGATCTAAGGTGCAATTGACCTGGGGTAAGTGACTGGTCCTTTGGGACTGGGAGTAACCTGAATATTGCTGTGATCTTTGATGTACGGGACCATCTATCAGAAAGGTAAGCTTACCTGGGCGGTAAGATAGATCAGAGTTCCCAAGGGAACTGTCTGTGACTCCATGTTAAGGCTGTTATAGTGCTTGAGGAGTTTACACTAGATAATTGGTTGGTGAAATCTAAGTATAGAACTCACAACCAATTTGGGGTTTGTGCCCTGCTTCTTAACAGTCTGCCCTGAGTTTGGTATTCATGCTCTTGAGTCATTGCAGGACAGGTTGACAATCAGAATGGGCCTTAGAACTGAACTTCCACACACTACAATATTTTCTCGTTCTGGGAAACAACCTTCCCAACAAGGATTAAAGTAACTGGGCTCAGTTCAGAAATGAAAGGAAATGTCCAGTTACCTACTAATAAAGCACAACAATTACAAAATCACTTTCTATTTCTAGGGAGTGTCTTAAGGTTCCCAAAAAAAGAAGTTTTGCCTTTGTAACTAAAGAAAAATTCAAGGAACAAAAGATTTGCTGTACAATACACTTTGGTTTCCATCTCAATTATTATTTCAGCCAAGAAAATAAATTATATGTCAACCTTTCATTAGGCCTAAGGAGTGTACCCTAGCTTCAAGGAATGGAATTCTGGCTGGAACACGAGGGTAGTAATGATCTCTCTTTGCCTGCCAGTGCTCCAGCTAAAACCATTAATCTTTTGTTGTTACACCCTCTAGATTAATCAAAAATGAGATTGAAACATATTTAATTTCACCAAAAGTACATAAGGTCAAGTGTGTTAATACAGACTGAAAGCGAACAAAAACTGCACATACAACTTCCATTCCATATAAGCAGACTATAAGAGCAGGGTAGGGCTTAGTGGGGCAGTCTGTGGTGGAGTGGGTGCTCTAAACACATTAAGAAATGAAACCCTTTTGGATGTTAAAACAAACAACATATGAGTCAAAAGAAGTGTCGGATTCATGGCAGAAGAGGTATCAAAATTAGTGGTGTTATATGAATACACTACAATAAAACACAATAGATAATGACAAAGCTTTAGTGATCTTGGGTGAAGTCCTGGCCCCATTGAAATAAATAGTAAAACACCCATTGGTTTCAGTGGGATCAGGATTGCACCCCTAGTCTCCTCCCTTATCCATCCATATCTCCAATGGGAGTTATGCCAAAATACTGTAGGGAGAACAAATCTAGTGGGTCAGATTGCTTCATTAAGGTACAGGTATACATTGGAGAAAATGCAGCAAAGGACTCCTGATGCTCTTGAGGTGCAGGGTGAGTGTTCCCTGTGCACCCCTTCTCTCCCCTTCAGAATTTGTAGCATTCAATCAACTCCATTGTCAGCAGTTCTGCTGGTCATGGTTCAGTGAATCAAAGAATTCATGGGGAAACTGATAATACTTACCTACCTTTGTGAAGCATTGTGATAAGCAGGGATGAAAAACACTATTTTCAGTAAGTGATACATACTGTTATCATCAGTGTTACCATGGCAGACTTTATAGTCAACTGACTTGAAAAATTCTGGCTTATTTTTGTCCACAATCAAACTGAAGATCAATTTTGTAAAGAAACTCTCTGTGACTTTGAACTTTAATCTCTCTAGGGAGCCCATATATTACTGGCCCTGAATTTGTTCTAGGAGTCAAACATTCTAGAGATTTATTGTCCTAGTACCTCAATTAACATTACGTCCTGCCCTTCAGCTGTACCTTTGCAGTCAAAGCTTTTCATTTCAGCATCAGACAATCTTGTGTTTAACTACTTAAATTTATAGTCACTTAAAATAATCACAGTTAGAGCTGACTTCAGTGTCCAATTAATCTTTATATTGCTTTTATTTATCAGTTCTGCTACTCTTGGCAAACTCAGTCCTGAGGTTGTTGTGCTATTAAGCTGGAGCCTACAATACTGTTTGGGTTGGTTTAAAAAGAATCCCCCTTTCTTTTTGTTTGTAGGGGGAGTGGAGTTACTCAGACTTTCTCCTTATTTTTTGATTCCTCCCCTAGGCCAGTTCAACCTGTCTCGTTTGATTAAGGAGTGGATGTGACTTTCTCCAGGACGGCATTATGGACACATTTTATATAAAAATAGAGATGGACAAGAACTGCGAAATGCAGATCTAGATTCAAACTTTCCCAAAGGTTGAAGTATTTGGATTGGGGGTTTTGAATCAATCATACCGCTAATTATTTTCTAATATGGTGTTTAAAACATTTTACCAGGTGGTAAGTTCTATGCATTAAAATAAAACAATCGTCTCATCTTCAACCTTTGAAAACATTAAATTTATGGGTTTTTTTTTTAAAAAAAGCCACATCCATTATGTTGTCTCTTATTTTGAATTTTAGCACAGATGCCAGTAAGGCCGTCCATCATTGTGTTGCTTTGCTCTGTATGATTTTATCATTGGCCTCACACGCTTGTGTAACTTGTGTTCAATAGCATGATACCTGGAATACATGGTCTAGCTTTGGTATCTCTGTTAGGAGTTCTTCTGGTTAAATACAGATTTCTATTTTTGTTTTCCACTCATTGAAGACTCTTGTTTGAAACATGTCATCATATTGGGTTGCTCCTCAAAATACCTGGCACATGGAACAAAAAGTGTTTCCAATTCAGCTGTACTCAAGCCACAGGAATTTCTGAAACCAATGTGACTAAAACTTTGCCAATGGTTTCCAAATGTACAAGTAGTAAATACTGAAAAATGCAGGTGAATAAGTCCAAATTTAATGTGTTCCACACATGCCAATCTATCTAGGGGAATAATATAACACCTGAAACATGGTCAGAAAACATTCACTGATCTAGAAAGTCGACTAAGTTTATTAACTGAATTTTGCCACTAGATTACATAAGGTTTTTGTCATCAGTTATCTTGCCCATTTTATTACCCAGAGCCACACTTGACAGTTGAATGATGGTATTATTCTCTTTCTAGATCCATTAAATGGGCACATGGCGTGTCATCCATCCATTTTAAGGTTCCTATACTGCCCTTTACAATAACATCTAAGCGCGTCCATGAAAAAGTCTAGTTGAAAAGTTTGGAATAAACATTTTCAATACAAAAATAAAGTGACAGAAATTACTTTTGAGCCTTCTCATTTGCTTGTTAGAAGAGTGAGATGTTTGAACTGCAGTGTCATCAGGATGCAAATGACAGCTGGATCCAAATGGTTCAGTGTTTTTTCCCCCCAGTGGCCTGGTCAAGATAAGAGCTCGGATGACAGGAAGGTAACAGAAATTTAGTCAGGGTGAGACAGAGGTGATGTTGATGGGCTGGTTGGAAACATTCAGAAAAAAAGGCCACGATATCTGCTTCCTCTTTTGATGGGATATGCCTGCTTGTCTCTGTGAGCTTCATAATGTGGTCTTCTTGGATGCCCAGCTGGACGAGGCAGCAGTAATTAGTAAAGGTTTTTCCATGTATGTTTGGATAGCACATTGTAACCTTTCCTCTTCAATGCAATCTATAAAGCCCTATATGGTTGGATCCTGACT